CGCATCGCATGATATCGACATCTGTGATAGTACTATTTCATACTAAATGAACGAAATTAGAACTCAAAATAATATTTCTGTCCCTCGTTCCGATCAATTTAAAGCCAAAAAGCTATTGTCATCTCGTTATCATTTTTTCAAAATTTAATGACGATAGAATAGCACGGTTTTGTTGCACCTAGGGTAGTTGAGTCGTGTTCGTCGTGCGTGTAATGGCCGGCCGCGCGTCTTTATGTATATTAATGTATTTGTGCGTGTTAAATGTTATATTTGTGTACTTTGACGACGACATTATGTTCAAGTAATTTTATGTTTGACAAGGCTTGAAAATGAAACGTCAGTTTCGAAACTAGTCGCTAAAAAGACTAACCTTAGATTGACGACGTAAAGGTACGTAACCTATTTTATATTGTCTTAAATCAATCCTGGAGGCAATGCTGAATAAAAAAGACTTTTTAGTTGGGTACGTTATAGAATGTGGAAATAAATTATTTTACTGAGAAACATTTCAAATTTGTGTATTATTAACATTTAACATGAAATAGCCACATTGACTAAATAGTTAACGATCCAAGATTAGTACAACTTCTGCTTTGTTTCTATTTAAAAACATATGTTTTGTAGAGTTTAATCAATATTTTGTATGAAGTGGAATAACCTCCAACGGCTACTCTTAGAAAATAACCTGGGAATAAAGATGGAATAGGTTCGTACAAGAATATATATTTGTTAATTAAGTAAGTACGATGACAAGTTCCAATGGGAGGAAAAATAATATCGTTTGGAGATTTTAAACAGGTACCGTCTGTTGCTCGCAAAAGAGTTAAGAATCAGCCGATGATTAGGCCTTATTTGATAGAATCGTAACGTCAATCGCACCTGAGGAATACCACCACATAAACCAACTACTAATTGTAGTTTTTTTATGTTGATTAGAAAAAATCTAGGGTTAAGTTTGGGCAATGGGATGCCTTTACTTTACACTAATGTAGTTAAACCTTAACAAAAGGAGTATAAACTTAGAAATATTAACTGGGTAGGGGTGCAAATTTAGCGGGTTTGGCCAAGAACTAAGCTTACCTCAACACACCTTTATTTGCATTTTTTATATTTGAAGAAGACAATTTCCAAAATTCCAATCAGGGGAACCTTTTGTCATCACCATAAACCATAAGACCAAAGCGACTTTAGTAAACCATAATTTATTCACAAACAATTAAATGTTTGCTGCCTTGAGCAGAGTTAAACCCATGTTGTGATTCGAATGATTTATTGAAAATAACATCAACAAAGGCAAACAAAGACAAAAAGCAAACTGTTTTTACACAAAAGATATGACGTACAGGTATATCTATTCTGACGCATTGGATAATAAAGTTCTTAGTTTGTTTAAATATTAGAATAATTTGTTTTATATTATTGAGCTTTTTAGGGACTTATGTCCCTACAAGCCACTAGTATATATATATATATAGAAGATGTTTATGTAAAGGCTTTTTCGGGCTTGTGATCTTGTAAGTAGCCTACTACTTGTGCCTTAGACACATTGCAATATTCAATTTAAATATAAGCCTTTGTAATAAAGTTATTTTATTTACGCATGTTCACTTGTCTTAAAGTTAACAAGTTTTAAAAGAAACAAAAAGATGCAAATGATAACAAAGAAACTCAGAGCTTTGTAACAATGTTAAACTCTGAGTCTGTTTACTTCTGTTGAGTTCTCCGAACAAATAATCCCTGGGGAGTGTATCATTTTGTTTGTGTTAAACACAATCAAATTTTTATTTCTTCAATGATTTTTGTTAATAAATGATAAAGCATTAAATGAAACAAGTACGCTATATTTTATTTTTGCTTTAATAGGTACAAAATGTATTAATAAATTGGCCTACTTTTTTATATACTAAAAATTGTTTACTCAATATTGGAGTGAAAAAATATTCAATCCCCTCTTACTAAAAACAAATGACAACCAGCCTATCCTAACCATTTACTTAATTACTCTAAGCACTTTTTTAGAGAAATAAAATATAAAGAAAACTGGTCTTTAATAAATATTAATGTCAAGAGAAAAATTAAGATCATGAGTCAATAAGGCATAATGAAGTATTTTTCTAAATAAAGGATGGAATTCTATATAACAAAAAACTTAATTGCCAAAATAATCACTTAAAATAAAATTTGTGTTTATATTTTTTTAATTCTGAATGCCTTCATTAGATACTGAAGGAAATAATAAAATACAAAAATAACAAAAATGACTTGTGCAAGGGCAGTAAATATTATGTTAGGTTTCAATATATTTCAACGACATTTACTATAAATATATTTTCATATTAATTATTTAATATTTTACAACCCACTACTTATTAAAAGTATTTTTCTGGCATAAAGGGCTAATAATTTATTGTAATTAAAGGTTGTTTTTTTTAGAATTGTTATAAGTCAATTGACGACTTAAAAAACTGCAATTGGTGTTTTGTAAATCGTTTCGGTTGAAATGGGCTTATCCTATTACACTAGAAAAAAATGTCTAGTTACTTCTTTAATCACTGTAGTGTCTAGTATTGTACAAATTTATAAAAATAGTGGTTAACTCCTCATCCCAATGATTGGGGTTTTAACCTAAGATGCTAAATTGTCCCTTTACTTTTGCCAAATCACTTGATTGCTCTCATGATGCTGTTGAAGTTTCCAATTTGTCATTAGCTCTAGTTGTAAAGGGGCTACATGCAATTACACTTGAGTAATTATTTTCCTAACAGACATGAGGGATGCATATAAAGTGTTAGTGTACTTAGACAACAGTTAACTTTGGTAACTTTGGTAAGCTAATCAGATGATGTGTTGTTTAGAGGCAGGAGTGTTTACATTAAATCTATTCCCTTATAGACTTATCATCTTGTCATTTGAGACATGTTTTTTAAGGTATGTCTGATAAGTCATGAGTGAACTAATGCGTTTTAATTGCAGGGTATTCGGAATTGTTTTTTCTGTATATAATAAATGTAATAATAATAGGTATTATACTTAAAACAAGTTTTCTCTACATCGCTTTTTTCAGTTGTCCTACTTTTTAACCGTCATGGGTTATGTTTTCATACACAAAATATTTCCACATAAATATTAAAGAAAATACATAATATCAGAGCTTATACAGTATTTACACAGCAGGAAGGTATTCACTCTTGACCGCACTCACAATATGTGCTGAGATATTTTATGTATGCTGAGAATGCTATTCAACTTGGCAAAAATATATTCTGCATCTGGGAATATTACCAAGAGCTATTTTGTTTAGAATTCAACCCTTTGTATTAATTTACAATCCCAGTTCTGTTAGTAAATTGGACCATATTATAACTATATAACTCTAAATTCTGTAGTTTTCTGAAATTAGCCTTCTAAATTAGCTAAAATTATGAAAATATTAAACAGGACAACACAAGAGAAATATGAATATTTCATCTGTTTAGTGGGAAGTCAGGATCTGAGAAGCTGGAGAATAAACAAAACACCTGACAGTTTAGTTAAGCAATTAATTTCCCAGTCACATTCAACAAAGCAAAATTATTTAGCTTTGAAATGGTGATTTATCGCTATGATTTGTTTAGGTGTGAAACAATAGATTCAGCGTGATATTTTAGTTTGTATGACACTAAAACTGTTACAAATAGTTCTGATTTGGAAAGCTAAAAAAAGTTGACATAGCTAAAATTTAGTCAAAGGGTTTAATGTGTACTCGTATTTGAGTGTTGTAAAGTCTGCTGGCAAAAACAATCATGTATAATCCCCTCAGAATATTGAGGGTGTACCTGTATAAATACACTTGTTATTTAGGCCTATTTAAGACTAGAGTAATTGTTCATATTGGTTTCCAACACACATTACATCTATAACTGATCATCTCCAAACAATTCCAATATTGTTATACTTGTGGTTCGTCAAACTATGTAAACCATTCCACAATTTGCATACATCATTATTGTGTAATTGAGTCAGTAGGTCTTGGAGAAACTGTTGGTTCAATAAACTATTGATGTGATCCTTCCTCTGTAATGGGAGCTTCAGTTTGATATTCAGTTCACAAACTATCTTGATTCCCATAAATAAGGTGATATTATGCTTTGCACCAGTTGAGAACACGTTGATTGGATTTGAGGGGAAATGTATTGCGCTTTAGCTCTTTTAATTCTTATTACTGTGTTTCGCTTCTGGATATTCACCTTTGCAACTACTTTTACAACTCTTTGAAAGATTCAACATCAGATATACAGTAGAGCCTCGATAACAAGACTCTCAAGGGGATTAGTAAATAAGACTTGTTATCAAGGTTGACTTCTTATCGAGGTTTGCAACATGACTGTGATAAGGGCTAAAATAAAATTCAAGGGGATTAGAAAATGACACTTGTTAAAAAGGGTGACTTGTTAGGGTCTTGTTATCAAAGTTCCACTGCATCAGACTAGCATAAGAAAAACTTCCATTTACTGCTATTTATGACAATATAGCTAAAGAAATTGCAGATTGCTATATCTGACTAGACCTAGTGCACCTAGTGCTTAAGTTTAGAACTGCTGTGCTTGGGAACTTTGTTTGTCAGTACTGTAGATTGTAAAGTGTCATCATAGGCCAAGTGGTCTGAGTCGTTGGCTCTTTGACCAGAAGACAGAACTTTAGCTTGAAGGTTTGGATCTCATCTCGGTCAGATCTGGAGTACAATTCATGAGAAGTGCAGTAGTGGGGAGAGGGCGGAGAGGCCTACCCAGAATAAACGCTGGAACACTTGAGTGGAAATTTAGGGATTGGTGTTTTGCTTATTCTTCCTGTGTGTATCAACCAAAAACTTCTTTTAAAATCACTTTGTATTTTATGAACAATCAATGGAGTTCAAAAGGTAAGTATCTACAATGTTCTACTTTTCAATGAATAAAACTAACCCATCACTACTTAAAGAATAAGAGTATGCTAGAAAGGTAAAAATGAGACTTAAATTGCTATTTACAGTAAAAATACACTTTGTTATTTTATTTTACAAATTACAGTATAAAAATGTATACAAAATCATTATACAACAATGAGAGAATATTTGGCAGTGAAGTGTTGGGCTCTCCACATGTTGGCAGTGAATTGCTCTCCATGACGCTGGTAACTCCGGTCAGATACCTTTCCATTGATAGTCAGTTTAGTCCGTCACTTGCAGGACAAACAGGATAATGATGGCCCAACAGTAGTAAAAGGAAACAAACAGTTCAGTTAATTCTATTTGGTTCATGACAAATTGATCAATAGTTTATATATAAAAAAAAACTAATACACACATTTTTTTTGTTTTATTTAGATAACATTTTTAATCAACATTTATAACACTGTTTGTCTTCACCCTGAGAAGGGTATAGGGCTTAAATAGCTTACAAGCCAAAACAGTGTTTAAGTCTACACCAACAGTAATTTTGTAGTGAAATAAAAAAAATTCAGAAGATAATAAACTTATTTTTATTCAATTGCTGTAAAATAAAATTAGAACCCCTTTTTTCTTCAATGGTTTAAGAACTTTAACATAATTTAATGCACAATAAAATACAAGACTTGTTAAATTTCATAACAAGATTTTTCCGAAATCACCATTTAAAAAATACAGTTAATATCAATTTTCAAGATAGGAAAAATAAAACCTTGTATGATTTTAAACTTCCTAACACGGAAGTTGTTAACTACTAAATATCTCTAACACAGTTTCCGCTCATACTACTGTTTTGTAGCCATCAACGGAACAATAGGAAATGAGAGGCACATAAGTAGTTCGGTGGGCTCTGGTGCACCGTCTACTACATACTACAACATTTAAACACATCACATTCAGCTTAGCACATCTACATTGAACACAAAGATTTATAATACTGATTATCTGCCTCTGCTCAATACATTGGTACATCAATACATCTGCTCCATACATTCATAGTAAAACATGGTGGAAATTACAGTATACAAGTGACTGTTAACCTTCGTGAAAACATTGTTGGTAACTGCATTATCTTGTTAACTAAGTGAACGAGTACACTGCATAAATTTCCATGTTGAAGTCCACATGAATAACCTCAAGTAATTATTAGAGAGTGCTTAAGTTTACAAAAACACAGAAAGATAAAGATAAACATAGTTTATGATATTTTTAAAGTTTAAGTTGTACATAATATCCACTTGAATTAAGTATTAGGCCATAGGGTTTTGGACATAGTTAGGGGTGTGCAGATAGTGAATTTGGGGTTGTATTAATTCAAATTGAATACTTCACGCAATTTTGAATACTGAATATTGTAGAGCAAATACTTATGTTATTATTATATACTCCAAAAGTTGTTCAATAATAAATTAGGAAAAAATTTTAAAATCCAGGTTCAAAGATGAAGTAAAACCACAAAACACATATTATTTAGTTTGCAGTCTATAGGGGCTTATTCCTGGGTTTATTAACAATTTTAAACTTTGACTAGATTCATAAATAATTAAATATCCAATCAGACTTAAATATAAAAATATTTTTTCAACTGAATTTTAAAATATTTGAGCACCCCTTCAAATAACTAGTTTTTAGGCTGATCTAGCACACTTATGTTTTGTGAAAGTGGTGGTGTACTTGTGGGTTTAAAAAAATTAGGAGTAGGCTACTGGAAAACTGAAATACTCAGAATGATAATCTTAAGTGTTGAAAATCTTCAATTATGAAGAAGAATATAACCAGGTTCCAGTTGTGTAATTTGAAGAAGAATTATTATTTTAAATTAATATAACCAAGATATCCAAATATGGTTTTATCATTGGTCCTACTGCATAATATATTGCATTTAGAGTTTATCGACACTACTTAAACAGTACTCAGTTATTTACAAATCTAAAACATTGCAGCAGAGCTTGAGTTATGAGTTCATACTTATTCTAAACTCTCTGTGAATATAAATAACCTAAACAAATAATTTAGACTCAAAATACACGTTATAAAAAATAAAATTGTTACAATTTAGATAACTTAATACACAATAAAATATAAATAATTCAATATATATTATAGCTATGACGTATAAATAAATACAGATCTTTTCCTTCAAAGAACCAATCCTACGACTACTGTACACTTGTTTACATCCGATGGCACTATACAATATGTACAAGGGGGGTCTGGTGACTCGACATCTACAATAAGTTACTAGTAATGGGCCTCGGTGGCTGGCTGAGATCGGTGGCCGAGGTTGGCGGCCCTGGCTGTGTTACATCTGTGGTAGTGGCACCACTGCCGCTCCTCTACTATGGTGGCAGAATGTCTAGCTTCAGACCAAACTCTGGACTGCAGGTGCCACAGTAGCCTCCACACTTGCCCATCACCTTGCGGTTGTCCTGTAAAAAATGTCATGTAATAGATGTACAGCTGATATAATGCATTAGATTTACAATAACTAGACTATTTAAAGATTTTGAAGATTTTCCGTAAATTACTATCTTCAACAATCTTCGGGTACCCCCACTGGAGCTGGTTCAAATCTGAACCCAGTGCTGCAATCTTTATTTCATTCACTACAAGCTTAGCATGCTCCCACCCACTGTGCAACGATAAGTCTTGTTAGTAGTTGAACAGAATGTCAAGGGAAAAATCTTTACTCCCACCAAGTAAGAAATTCTTTCTCTAGTTAGATTTCTGTGGCCTAAGCTATCAATTGTTATTGAAGTTTATTGCCTGTTTTCATACATAAATGGAGTAAACGTAGAAAGTTAGGGTGGAAAGTAAGAGCTGTAAACATTTGCACAATGTTTACAATGCATGGCATAGGCCTGCTGTGGTTGTTCAACAGTTTTTTTTTTCCAAGGTGGTAAGCTAAGTTATATAAACTTTGCACACCATGTGACTTAGAATCCAAAACTGATGGGAGATGTCTATAGGCTACCAAGAAGAACGGAAAACTTTGGTATTTCTGAGCTGCAAGAAAACTTTCATCAACAGTAATTAGCTGAAATCTGTACAATACTGGATTTGTTGTCACAGGAGTATTACCCCAAATAGATTCAAAAATATTAGCTGCATAACTAAATTCAAAAATGACCTTAATATAAGGTTATTTAATAGAAAAAACCTTCTATTCTGTATCTGAATTTCTGGATGACAATAATATTGGTGTACACTTTGGGCAATAACTCAGTTTAAAATAGTTAATTTTACTTTAGTACTATTTTAATTTATGGAATGTTTTCTTTGTTTTATATTATGCATATTTGACAATGTCACCTGTTCCTCTAGCTGCACTAGAAACTTGGAATGTATTCTTGTGTATGTGACGGTGACGATAAAGTAATATTTATTTATTTATTTATTTATTTACCCAGCTGCAGTATCAGGTCTGACTGTGCAGTGAATAGTGTCTGATGAATCTAAATAACTGCTAAACTGATCGTTTAATTTAGAATGTAGGGTAGGCTTACTCATCGTTATTAAGGCCTATTTTTAAGGATTCCACAATAAAAATTTATAAGTTACAAACTTGTAGATTTAATTTAGTATTATTTTCGTAGTTAGCTGTTTTGGTAATCCAACACTCTCATGGATCCATAAACATCAGAACTCATCCCACAGACAAATAGAATAAATATAGACTGTCTAAGGAAGCTTTTGGCGCCCACCGCTAGGAATGCCGTGTAATTACAGCACACACCGCTGCAGGCAAGGAGCGCAGGAGCCGTATGCTACCAGCAGACGCTGCAGCGGTGTGCGCCGTAACTAGACGACACTCCTAGCGGTGGGCGCCGGAACATATGCTAACCGCAGCACTGTTGCCGGTCTATATTCATTCTATTTGTCTATGCTCATACACACTACACAGTTAAACAAACTTTGACTAAACATTTGGTAGTTAAAGCAGTTTTATCTAAGACTGTACCTCAAGTTTGTTGATCTGATGTGAGGCATAGTGGCCCTGACCCCTCCACTGAGTGTGAGGTGACACTCGCAGCCCTGTACCACTCAGGTTGATGCTGAACCTCCCCTGAGGACATCTGGCCCTGGAGTAGCAGTCCCCCGCCACTCCGTACTCCACCCTCGCACCCTTCACTTGCTTGGAGAAAGTCCAGTCATTACCTGCCAAGCGTACTTGTACATTAGCTTTCTATTATGGAGAGAAAAACACATTCCATTCCCACGTTAAAGTTGTAGCTAGTGTAAGAGTAGACAAGAAATGGTGTATAAAGGAGATGAGTTATTCAAGGGGTCTTCTACACTAACTTTTTAACAAAGCAAAATTGAATCGATAAACAATGTCGTGTTCCTTACTTCATTCACTACTATTCTAGCCAGTTCCCACTACTAAGGAATTATTTGTCTGGTCATAGTATTAACAAATATTCTAAAATAAAATTGACTCTCCAACCAAGTATGAATCTGGTCATGTGATAAGATTTCTGTAGTCCCAGTTTTCAACCGCTTTCCTGTGATAAGATTTCTGTGGTCCTAGTTTTCAACCGCTTTAAGTCCATCGCCAGTCGATGGACGTGACTGGAGTAAGATGATTAGACATAGAAAATGTGTGCAAGAGGTGGAGGGAATTTGGATGTGGTCTTAAACATTTGCACAATTTTTTTCCAAGGTTTCATTTTCCTTAAGACAAGGTAGTTGGGCATGCAGATCGAGGTGTACCAATCTGCAAGCAAAGGTTCCTTAAATGCAATAACTGTCACGATTAAACCGAAATGTCAGCCTTGAAATGTCTGCCTTGAAAATATTTACAGACTTCTAAACACTCCCCAGGCCAGTAAAGGACATTTTCTATATCAAAAAACTTTTCTGTATGCACGTCTGTCAATTGGCAACGGCAATCACAAAAAAATTACCCCTTTTGTAGGAAACCTTACCACGGAACGTGATTCTCACTTGGCGGAAGCGACTGTTTTCTTTCATAACCTTTTTTAACTGTATAGCTTATGAACCAGACTAATGGTCCAATATAAGAACCAAATCCACCTGGTATGAGTGAATGAAGAAAGTAACACGGCGTTGGTCTTAGATTTGAACTAACTTGCTTGGTTGGGACAGGAGTTTGATTGAGACCTTCAAAAGTCCTTAATTTGAGGGAGAACACTCGTTTATTTTTTTTATTTTATTTTTTTTTTTTATGTGTTGATGACAGAAAATAGAATAAAAATTAGCTAGCAAGTCAATGAACTGATGACAAATATCACTGATTGTACAAAGTTTTGCAACAAGTACAATAAACAAGTATTCAATGGAAAGCTATTTAAAATTTACTAAAACAAAAAACCTTTGGTACTTACTAATAATTTTAAGAGATGTGATGTTTAGTCTGATTTTTGAGAAGGTGGTCAGTCCTGCTCTGCCATCCAGATCACTGATGCATGGACAAGGCTCCTTCCTCTGGCCTCCGTAGGGACACACGTCTGGATTTCGTAGGCTAAAACACATTTATGTTATAGTAACTACAAATGAATCTAAAGTATGATTCTGACTTGGATTGAAAATATTATAGGCATCGTCAGGCTGAAACATGTAGGTATGATATCTACACTCAGTTTGGATTTCACGAGGAGGTAAAATATTAGGTAGTCTTTACAGTAATCAAATTTTTGTTCTTTTTTACACTTTAACCATTAGATTCTAAAGCATTAAATTTTAAACTTAAACCCATATAAATAAGTAGAAAAATGATCAACAAACATGTAGGGGCACCATTAACACTCCTGACAGTAACATCTTATATCACAGATGTTTGCATTGCCAATACTAACCTGTTCCCATAATACTCAGCGTAATTCTCCCTCTCTCCTGTAGGAAGGGTGAGGAACTCCACAGGAGCGACTGTGTTCATCCCGTAACAGAAGATGGACAGATTCCTACCAGCCACTGACATGGTGTATTCCTTGTCTCTTCTCTGGCCTGTCTTCTGCTGCACATCCTTGCATGAAGTGAATCCACCTGCACATACATTAAAGACATTGTTACTATGTGATTGGGTTGGAAGAAATTTGCCTTTTGTGAGCAGTACTCGCATCCAGTACATTTGATATTCCGGCATGGGACAATTTACAACTGTTACAAATTTATTAAGACTTAGGTCAAGTTTCAAGGCAATGGCCTAAAGTAGTATTCAGACGTAATAGTTTGAGACAAAAAAAAGCTTAATACCAATAATAGCAAATTTGTGTGTGTTGTGGTCAGTGGTTAGTGTCATGGACTTCGGTACAAGAGGGACGGGTTTCATCCCTGGCATATCGGCAAATGTTTGGAGGGTGTTTTAATTGCTTTCCTCTACTTGCATTTGAGTTTTTTCTATAGAGAAATATGCTATTGACTTACAGCCCTTTTGGCTCTCTTTCCTGCAATATTTTTGCAATCCTTGCGTTTACAGTTATTATACTGTCGCAAGGGTGTTACTTTATGCTCGAAGCATCTTAAGCCATACGCAAAAAACTAAGATACACATGCAACATTTTATTGTCACTTACACTTTTTCTGGTTGCATTTCCGTTTCCGTTGCGGGCGCAGTTCCCTAGGACAGTTCCTCTTATTGACCTTCTTGCCAGTTTTGTGGTAGCAGAAAAGTCTCCTTATTTGCCTTCCTTTCTTTCCACAAGGGTGTGTACACTAAAAGAAAATATTAAGTATAGATTCACATAAACTAGAACACATTTTTAAGCAGAATAAAATGACAAATTTATGAAACGTGTCTCTACTATTTGGTAAAAAATGTTCCAATCAGTAATAGGTACTGATGTTTTCAAGGGAGCCAACAAGCTGTAAAGAATGTGCTCCGGAAATATATATTTTTACCATTGAGTTATTGGAATATAATGTAAAATGTTATGTTTTGATTGATATGTTTATTTGTGTACCTTGTTTAATACACTGATATGAGAACACATTGTGATTAGCATTAGTGCACTACACATTTTGCTGATGTAGCTTCCCCCGTTATTGTTATCCTAATGTAGCAAAAGTGCAAATATCATGTAGACCTAAGCTCTTGTGAGGTAATAAATCTGTCCTATTTCTATCTGTAGGAGCCCACCTGTTGCCATGGTCCAGGCACCCAACTGTAAGTAGCGTAACAGCTGCTCGGGTGACAAGCTCGGGATGTGTTGGGTCGGGTGCTCTGGTCACACAAGCTGGGTGATACCGGGTCTGGGTCCACCCACTCCAGCTGATTGACCCGTTGACAAGCTACACTGCGCTGCTGTGTTCCATGCCCACAGGTAACCGAACACTGAAAATTTAGAGACTTATAAGCTTAGATTGTTTAGATAATTGTTATCAATGTATACAAAATTTTTCATGTGAAAAGTTTCCTTGTATGATGAAAATTAAATACAGATGTTATAACTTTCTATTATACTATTGTTCTCTCATTAAATAATAGGTCATCCATCATGACACAATAGAAGGTTCTCTTATTCACTCGAGGTATACCAATATTTTAGTTAAAATAATAAGTTTTAAGCTCAAGGGTGAGTGAGAAGATAAAACTTGTTTACAAAAGCCATATCTATTTAGAAAAAAATAGGGTAAAGAACCATACAAAATTGTATCTCAGTAAGTGACTTTTAAATATCTTTAAATTAAGGTAGTTTTGAATAAAAAGGTTTCGTTAATCCTTAATATAGTCTTATTTTTATTAACTAGATGCCGTTATGGTACTAAGCAATGTAGAATATTTAACCTAAAAAAGGGGGAACAGAATCGCCCTTATATCTTACCTATTGGACTTAAACAAACTGGGGGCAAACACAAAATGCAACAATATCACAAACACTGTAAACATGTACAAACAAATCCCTTATGATACCTTTTAAACTGAACTCTGTCTTTGGTGAAACAACATCCAATCACACAGGAAAAATTATGAAATAACAATTTTTTTTAACCAGGAAATATGTCAGTTGTAGTTTTACCCTGTAAAAGAATATAAAGTTTCAAGGGGGGTTGGACTTGGTTAATCTGAAAGTTCAAATCACAAAACAGAAAACAGGACATTTGAGGACAAACAGACTTCTTTAACGATAAAGTTGAAATTCTATGGGCGGACAGTACCTAGAATGATACTAATGTCAGTATGAGCAGTATAGTTGTTAGTTTAGTACAACACATAGTAATTTTCAAGTAGTCAATTAACAAAGGTAGAGTCATTATAGTAGCAGATTATAAGCGTACATGGCGAGTCATAATTGAAAGGGGAGGATACAAATGTTCTATATATAGACATATATAGGTATTCTTATAAAGACGATCATCAAACAGTCTGTCGTAGCTATAACACTATTGGACAGTTATTGTACTTATATTGACAAAGGTAAATACAGCGCAATGAAAGACTTGTTGGCTGAAAACTGGTATGTAAGGTTCAAAGAGGGTATTTGACATATTTTGGATACATTTCATCCCTCACTATTTTTATTTATCTTAATACAACACATTAATGATTTCTTGGAGGCAAGTAAACGGCTTTCTGACTGAGATTTTGGGTTTTGTTTGGAGATTTTAAGATAATAGGATTGGAAGTTGGGGATTTCAATGCCAATCCATATATTTAACATTTAAGTTGATGATCTAAAGTAAAAAAAAAAAACAACACCTGGAGGGCCTTTCCTTAAAACCTTTCTTGGTGACCAAGGTAAATTAATAAAATTTTTATTGGTAAAGCAACAATATTACATGGATAGACAAATGAAATTGTTTGATACCTAATATGTTAGAAAGTGTTAATAGTTATAAATTTAGTATCTGAGGTGTGTGGAGTTAAAATATATATAACAAAGTTAAAGTTATTGTTTTAAAGGCTTTCCCTTACGTATTAGCTGTTTATTACAATCTATGTTGTTATTGAGACTTTATATTACATATTAGTATAGTTTTCATGTTTTCTATTTTTTTACGATTAACAGAAGACTAACTTATATTATAAATGAACTCTCCATATAATTAAATCAATTACTTGTTACAATATAAATTAGTTTACAGGACTTTACCTAATAGGCTTACACCTTGAGTTACATTGTTAGTTTTTAGCTAATACAGGGTGGACAAAAAGTCATTGGGTGATTAAATATTTCAAAACGTAATAAAGATAGAGCTTCAACATTTTTTTAGATGTTACTGGGCATTAAACTCATTTTAACAGATTACTCAGTGATACACTACTTCTTCAGGGGGACTTCTACATTTAAGATTTTAAGCTCTATCTTTAGTACTTTTTTAAATATTTTACCATCCCGGGAGTTTTTTTTCCACCCTGTATAAGCTTTTGGAAATAAGTTTTTTGTTATTTATACACCTTTAGGACCTATAAGGAAATTTTAACAAAAATCTTCTTAATGGTTTTTTCTAGCATCCAATCACATGATTATAATTTGGTCCATGTTAAACAAAAATATTTATAATAAAGTAATTAGTAATGGGTTAGGATTTGATTATCACAAAAGTATTACCACTTCAAACAATAGAGATTTTAAGAAAAAAGCTTCCATGGTCAGGTAGTCACTAACACTGCATACTGGATCTTTTGGGATCAACCAGGTCACAGACAAAAACTTATTACTAAGTGCTGTTGTTTTGGCCAAGTTACAGACTCGTATCTGTAGAGCAGTTTGACTGATTGCTGTTTGTAAAGCAGCTGAAAAGTCAGTAGTTAGTAATAAGTTTCTATCTTTGATGCAGTCATTCTCTGAAAACCTTGTTTGGAATATTAATATAGAGCCTGAGTTTTAATTTGCCAAATACATGTTAGTACCTCCGTAGTATCTACTAATTATACAGGTGAACCTTAAACAGCAATTAGGTATTGATATTACAAAGACAAATGTTAATCTACGAAGCTCAAGTTAGACTGTACACTCTATTTGGACAAGACAGGACGCAACCAGCACCGCTCCGGGTCCACACCAGATTAGACGGCCACTCGTCCTTAGCAGGGAAAGGCAACGACCACGGACATGCGACAAGCTGCTCTACCTGTGACCAGTCGCTGGTGATCCACTGAAGAGGACAAGGTGAGAGTTTGCAGTTGTCCGTCACCTTGGGTTTCTGGACAGCCGAACAGTGAATTGGGCTCACCAGTTTTCCTGACAATCGCTCCACACAAGACACTTTCCGTCGTCTAACGCCTTTCCCGCAAGATCGGGAACACTGTTTGTAAGTGGCAATGTGTGAATATGAGTCTAATCGTAGACACATTGTATAGGTGGTTGGGGTCGTTGTAGTGTGATAAGCTTACTGTGATAACTACGTTTATATCAATAAATACTAAGTATAGATGGATTGGATATCCACGCCATGGAGAGCTCTGTTCTATAACCAGCATTGCCCTATTAGCTATGATTGTTGACATTTTAGATCTAAGTTTATTTAACAATACATAACTTTGTGGCGATTGACAGCCTACTTAAAAAAGAGTAATATGGCCAGAAATGTCTTCACATGTATTTTTTATTACTTTTAGATCAAACCTCATTCCTAAAAAAATTAACATTATTTACCCTACTAAAAAATAAACATCCTCAAATAATGTAAAATTTAGTAGGTATATAACTTTGATTCATGCAATAGAATACAAAGCAAGCATCATTTGTCAAGTGCAAGGTTAAGATGTGATGGGAATTAGGTGCATTTATATAAGATAAAAACAATACTTACAGCTAACTTTCAATACAAATAATGATTATGAACACAGCCCAATGTTTCTAATAAACATGCAGACATTCACAGAACAAACACAGCAATAAGAATACATCCGATATAAACTAAAGAGTTATTTAGATACATGCAAACATAAGCTATCACAGCCTGAAACATTTGTAAATTATAAATTAAGCTTAAACATTTTTAATAATTGAACACAAATGACCGATTGAATTTAAACTGATTTGTAACTGTCTAGTATTTTATTTTAAATGCGTGGCAACATCTAATAAGGCAATGACAGTTACAGAATTATAAACTAAAAGTGATCTAAGAAAAATAGGAATTTTTATGAGGTAGATATATTTCCCTGAGGTAGACATAGAGGTAGATGTTTAAAAGTGTAAAGAGTGTGTTTGATTTGTTATGGCTGTGTCAGTAAACCCGCTGCAACATAAAACCAACAAAAATAATAGTTAAACACCAGAACATGAGTATGAGAGGGCAAGTGTTAGTAAAAGATCCAGGGTTAAGGTTTGCAGATGAAGACGTAACTTTGATGTTTTTTGGGAGGATATACGAAAAAGAGTAAGAAATCAAATAATTGCAAGACTTAGCAGGTTATTATTGGATTAAATATCTAGTGTATTTGTAATACTATAACAATGTTTCACTAATAGTCCTGAAAGTGACTCATTTTATGGCAAGATAGTCGTGTATAAGCAAGGCAAGGCCAAGTGCAGAAAATAACGAATGAGCCATAAAAGGAATCTTTCTTAATGAGTAGTTATTGATAACTAACATAAAAAATCACATACAGCATTTTGGCTTAACAAGGCTCTATAAAGTTTTCATAGCATGATTTTGCATGTAACTGGTTGTAAAAGTCAGCTGTTTGATTGATTCTCTCAACACGTTCAATGCGGTTGCACAATGACTGGCCACTGCGGGTGGCGCAAATAGCTAAAGCGCTGCACAAATACGTTTAAATTTAGTTGTTTTTTTTCAAATGAGAGACATATACTGCGTCCTAGTTGTTGAGGGTGTAGTTTTACAAGAACACAACAGATAGCAGCACGAAACAATACTGCTAGCCGGGAAGCTGGCCCTCAGTAGTATTGCCAAATAGAGGGGAATCGCAGGGATTCTATCAGGATACACCATCAAAAACTACCGCAAAAAAACGGTCAAGCATAATTTTGAGGTTAGGTTCCTTCCACAATGCTACAGTACATTCATTATCGTCATTCTATTGCATGTAGGCTAATTGGATCCAAGCCTAACCCACACACTACAATAAATTTGTAACAATCTCTACCACTGATAAAATAGTCGGATCTGAAAACAAATCATACCAGATTGAAGTATAACACTAAGTGGCAATAAGTGGCAAGCCAAACGTCTCGCGGCAGTGGCTAACCTTGCAAATGGAACAATAGTTTGTAGACGGCGCTTTGACGAGTATACTCGTCGCTCGCCACTGGAAAGAACTAGTGTTGACGAGATAACTTGTCATGCACAGTGAACGTGTTAATGAAAAATGTATACTCGGAGCGCTAATGTGTACATTTTATTTTTTAGCTTTAAGACTTACAGATTAGTAAAAAGTGTTATGTAAAATCTTAGATCATAAATTCACTTACAATGAAAACTGTGTATAATGTTTCAAAGTCAAAATAATAAATAAATATTAGTGTAGTGGTTTTTTCTCACTGAATCGGTTATGTTTAACTAATTGTGTTTCATACAAGTAGTTGGTGTGGGTTTGCTTAGACAAGGTCAGAGGGGGAAATTTTATTTTTATTTTTTATAAGTGTTTCTCGTAATAAGATGAAGAAATTAAATTATAGAATGAACTATATATGAGAAATTATCCTTGGAATTGAGATGGGAGGAAAGAATTGGCTCTTGTATCATAATACAGGAAATGCATTTTTTAAACCATGAATAGATAGTTTGACTGAGTTTTTCTCGGTAATGTGCACTATGAATTCTAAACAGCAAATCATCCAGACAGTTTCACAAAGCCACAACATGCATTGAGATTGAAGGAGATTTAACTTGTGCTTACCGGACTCCAATCTTGAGAGCGCCACCTGTAATGGTACTGTTGTTGAACTGCAGGACATGGTCTAGTGTTGCATTCCTAAACATTTCATTTTTATAAAGCAAATTACGATTTCATGATTTAGTACAATTTTACAGACATGCACTGAAACCTGAGTTGAGAAGGCCTTTGAATACTTATAGTAAGGCTTAAAACGAGAGTTTGTTTTAGGTGTATCTCCTCAATTGATAGGTCTAAATACCCCACAAAGGGATAAATTATCCACATGGATGGCAAAATAAGTACCTACCTTAGTAGACTGACTAATTTTTACCCCCGAATTCCTCATGGTAATAGAGTAGAGAGTGCTGTTTAATAATTTTGTATCTTATTTCACAAGTACCACATAAAACCATTTAGAATTTTCAAATCAAATCAAATCAAAATAGCATTTATTCCGCCAAAATATTTACAAATTGCATCATATTAGTCATGCACAAAAATGTGTACATATTGTTTATTTTTTGACAATATAAACAATTTAATATAAACATAAAAATATAAAAAAAACTTTTTAAATATCTTCCAAAAAAAGAAATACCACTGTGTGTGGATGAAAGTTCTTGTATTTAATATATTAAAAAAAAAAAAAACTAAGTGATGAAAGAAAAAAAATGATTTTGAAACGATTTTGAAGATACACTGAAGGACTTAATTAATGGTAAGTGACTGAGATGATATTTTAGACAACTAGTAGGCCCTTCCCCCCCTCCCATCACCCAATCACCCTCCCCCTAAAAGATGGTTGTTTTACTTGAGGAAATGATGAATCACTGTTTGTTTTGCCGCTTACCTGTACATGAGGTGGTTTCTGAGCTGCAGGACATGACATGTCGGACAGTAAAGTACCTCGGACACTCTGACAGCGGACTTGTCTATGTTGGTAGCCTCCTCCACACGTCTGGTTACACTGTCACAGACATGGTACACATTCAATACTATGTTAGTGATGGTGTTAAAACAAAACAATTTTGCCAATGTACAATCAGTCTTTAGAATACAAGGTCCAATAAATAATTAATTGTAATTTTACATAAACGCTGTCAACCAGCTCACAAAAAGAGCTAAAATTGTACGTAAACAAAAGTTGCTGTGGGTAAAATAAATTAGTATAAATGACAATAGACCTTAACACACCTGACTTTTTCATTGCAAACTAAACTAAGCCAAGCCTATAAATAGGCCCTTTGAGCTCCCAAGGATAAGGTACAATCTGCAACTATTGGAAGGTTGTGCTCAATAGATAGCCACGCCGTGATCATTGGTGTTGTTGTATGGCCATACTGTATTATTTTTATTTATTTGTGATAATATTTGTTTGATTTTCGTGTTTTTGTTTTAAAGACTTCTTGACATCCTCCTAGGAGCGACAACACGTCTTAAGGCTTGAAAATGACACATTAAGTGTCGAAATTGGTCGCCATCCAGACGACTAATGGGGGAGATTACATTGGCAACAAAAAGGTATTTAACCTTTAGAATTATATTGTTAGAAGAAAGTAATCCGGAAGGAAACACCTCAAAAATGAATATTAGGAATGGCCAAGCAGTCTATGGTGTTCTATCGTTAGGAGACAGCACCTAGGTACATGGTTTTGAGTTCCGTTTTTATCAGATCTGTTGTTCAACTGATATGGAGTTCACCTGTTTATTAGAAGTGTTTGATATGATAGGTCCTAAAATAATTGGTTACAGCTTGGGTGGAAATTAACAGGATCTGAAGATTCATTGTGTCGAGTTGCATCCTATTTCAAGCATCTTGGTACATATCATTACTTTCATAGATAGTTAAGTTATTAAAGTCAATTGTTGGTTTTACCAATTAAAAGACCAAAACAGATAAATTATGGAAAATGTCAGTTTTGGTTTCTTGGTTGCTGCACAGAAGTTTTTCATTCAGGGAACGTATAGTAGGTACAATATTTTGCCGTGCACTGGCCACTGAGGCATTAAAGGAAAAGCACAAAATCCCACATGTACACAGGCACAAGCTTTGTCCCAAGTTAATTAATCAATCAATAAATCAGTGAATCAGTTACCTCAGACCAAGCTCCAAATATCCAGCCGGCGTCATGGTTACATGGCTGGGTGTTGCAGGTGATGCTGGACACAGGCTTGGCATCTCTACATTGAGTCACATCTGAGGTGATCACTCCTGCCTCGTCTTGGCACACAACCATCCTCGTCCTCTTGCCTCCTCCACACTCCTCCGAGCACTAAAGTGTCAAATTGTGTTACTTAGACATTTAATTATGATTAACTTGACTTAACCAAAAAAATAGATAAATAATGTTCAATATTTGGTTGGCTCAATTACACACACCATCTCACCCATTGGTTAGTGTTAGTTGTTCCATGTTCATACGTTCGGTAACCTTGAAATAAATGTTACAATCCATGTAAAGACAAAGGAAAAGGGACCTCAACTTTCTGAACGGGTAGAGGTATAAATTTGAACTGAAATCGGTGCAAGGTATTAATTAACAAAATCAAAATATACTTACGAATCAAGCCTTACGATCACGATGTAATCGCAACCACAGAGCTTGTCTGTGAAGATAGTATGATTGGAAATTTCATGCTTTTGCAGTGATTGCGGATGACAGTAATGTTTATGTGATCGTATAAGATCATGATGAAGTCTCCGTGACCAAGGGGGAAGACAATAACATTTCCATGATCACAGAGGGCAATGGTGATGTCTACTAACCCGATAGACGTCCAGGATATTTCTGGGATTGCGGATGAGGATGATGATGTCTACACGACCGTGGGAGTAGTTTGATGATTTTCCCGTGATTTCATGAGACGATAATGTTGTTTCCCTTACTGCGAGGGACGATGATAATGTCTACACAACCATTGGTCATGTCCAGGATTTTGCCGGCACTGCGGGGGTGACAATAGCTTTCTGTGATCATAAAAATTCATAATGATGTTTACAAGGCTACAGTATACGTCCAGGATTTAGCCACGAATGTACTGTTGAACTGCGGATGACGATGATTTTTTCATGATTATTGGATTTGTCCAGGATTGCGCGATCACAGAATATGGTGATGATGACCACGTTAAATGATATTTACCTGTCCCGGTCCTGTGATAAATACACAGTTATGATTATTAAATTGATTACCAATTTTCAATTTTATAATAACTAAATTTAAATCCTTCTTAGCTTTATAATGGTGTAGAAACTGCTTGTTCACTACCAGGTGTCAGGCGACTACTCATACAGAGAAGTGTGAGGCCCATTAGTAAATGTGCTAATACATCCTAACATTGATTAAATTGTATCTGAAAAGAAGATTCGTAACAAATTAATTTTCTATTAGCATTACTTTAAGTTCACTACCTAAACAAGTTCAGCTACAAACTTTGGCTCGATCAAAAATCTCATGCTCACACACCTCTAACAAAATATAAACAATAGGTAAGCTCACTTCAGTCCAAGCGCCTGTCCTCCACTTGAAGGTGTTTGGTGGTTTGTCTTGGCATTGTGTGAGACAAGCTCTCTGGTCCTCGGGTCTAGAAGATGTACACTCTCGAGGATCAACCTCTCTGCTGTCTGTCATACACGCTACTGCTCGGCTCTCCACTCCCTGTCATTAAATCACTTTCTAGTTATAACAACAAGCATGTTAAATTAAGTCCATTAACATCAACTAACGGTCAGTTTGCCTGTCCAATATAATTATGATCTGTGTGGTGATCTAGATCTACATATGGATGATGAAACATTTAATGGGTGATTCACATATGCAGGTTGGTGATTGTAGTGGTAGAATAGTGTGTACTGGCCTCAAATCAAAAATTCGTGATCAGCTAGACTAGAGCTTAAGTGGTTACAAAGTTTTATATACTATTAAACATTTAACGAACTCCACCACGAGGAATATTTAATACTACCTTGGTACTTGACATTCTTCAGACTTGATGATGTGCTCCATCCAAAGCACGAAACAGCTATAGTCATAACAAACTACAAAGGATCGTTTGGACAGTAACAAGGTAACATAAACCACTATACGTTAATTCAGACGATCCAGAGGCCATTCCATCATGTTATCCAAACTGCTGGGTTACCGAAGTCCCGGTTTGTGAGACTCTACTGTAGCCTATTCTATTGGTTAATTTTCAATTAAGTTTATTATGAGCAAATATACGATTGCAGAAAGGTGTCAGTATCATTTACATTACATTTAAGCATTTAAAGCCAATAAAGGACAAGTAGTTTACCTGGCCACACGTAGCAGAGCAAGGCCCCCACTCTCCGACTCGCCACGAGGCACAGGCATGTTCCATACAACCACTCTCTGTGCTGGGCTGCTCCAGGTGTGTGCAGTAGTTGCTATCTGTCACCTTGCGTGCCACCTCGTCATAACACACCAGTGACCGTCGCTTCATACCTTCCCCACACGTCACTGAGCACTGCCAACCAACACAACTGTCACATACCTCACCAGTCACAATGTGATTGTGATTGAAGTTTATTATTTCAAGTAAATTATTTGGGCTATTTGTGTGTTAAAGATGATTTTTCTCTGAACATTATTTTTGCTGAACGTTAATTGACAAAGGTTAAGCATGTTTGATAATTTTGATAAATCTCTCATTCGTTCCATTGCCAAAAAAGATGTTCCACTGTGAAAATTTTTGGTCTATTGTAAAATAATTCTTGTACAGTTAACCCTCAAATCAGATTAGACTGTGGACAAAGTAAGCCTATTCAAACTTCCAACAACTATTTCAATTTATCCTATCCTAAACACACTTGACGCTTTGTAACACTCTTTAGTAAGTAGGACCCTAGTGCTGTAAAATAACAACGTACTACTCTTACTACACTTGCACTAGACTCACCGGTTGCCAGTCCTCAGTGCGCCAGATGTATCTGTGATAGTCGATGCTGTTGATGGCGTTCTCATGCTGCAGACTGCAAGGGTGGAGTATGCAGGTGTCTGTTACTGCAGGCTTGGAGCTTGAGGAACACTGTCCTTGGATGCTGCACATCACTGAGCGAGTGGCCATGCCTACGCCGCACGTCACGGAACACTGCAACATTCATCTCTTTTCAGCATAGTAGGTGATGAAATAATTTAATAATAAAAATAATGAACGTTTCTACAATGGTCATGTTTCTAGATATATAAATTGAATCAAAAGGCAACTGATACTAGTGACTTTGTTTACAGAAATATTTTAATATCTAGTTAAATCACTGTGTTTGGGGCTACAACCACCTACACTGGCGCACTAGGGCACCCTGCAGAATCAACACCTGTATTATGCTCTAATCATACCCTCAACTCAAATCGAAGACAATATTGACTTCATTTTACTACTGAGTAGCCGAACTCAGCTGCTGTTAGCTTCTGATGTTACCATATCAAAATATAAATACAGTCCAACCTCAGTATAACGAATCTGAAGGGACCGATCTGAATATTCGTTATATCAAGGATTTTGTTTAGTGATGGTCGGATCCGGATATCGGACTACCGGATCCGCCGGATCCGAGCTAGAACCGGCACCGGATCGGATCCAAAAAATTCCGGATCTTGGGCTGGATCCGGTTTCGATGGATCCGATTTTTTCAAATTTTTTCCCGATTTTTTCCTAACACAAAGCTGTCTGTATCACTGTACAACCCCGATTTTTTTACCAACACAAAGCTGTCTGTATCACTGTACAACACCGATTTGTTTACTAACACAAAGCTGTCTGTATCCCTGTACAACCCCGATTTTTTACTAAGACAAAAAGCTGTCTGTATCACTGTACAACACCGAATGTTTTTACTAGCACAAAGCTGTCTGTATCACTGTACAACCCCGATTGGTTTACTAGCACAAAGCTGTCTGTATCACTCTACAACACCGATTTGTTACTAACACAAAAAGCTGTATGTATCACTCTACAACCCCGATTTTTTACTAACACAAAAAGCTGTCTGTATCACTGTACAACCCCGAATGTTTTTACTAGCACAAAGCTGTCTGTATCACTGTACAACCCCGATTTGTTTACTAAACACAAATCTGTCTGTATCACTCTACAACCCCGATTTTTTACTAACACAAAAAGCTGTCTGTATCACTGTTCAACCCCGAATGTTTTTACTAGCACAAATCTGTCTGTATCACTGTACAACCCCGATTTGTTTACTAAACACAAATCTGTCTGTATCATTGTACAACCCCGATTTTTTCCTGATTGTTTTACTAACACAAAGCTGTCTGTATCCATGTACAAGACCGTTTTTTCCCCGAGTGTTTGTCTCTTGATGCAAACTAGTTATATGGCTCGATGTTTGTATCTAGATGCAAATAACTTGTATGGCAAGGCCATGTCTCAGTGGTTTGCCTCTTGATGCAAATAACTTATATGGCAAGGCCATGTCTCAGTGTTTGTCTTTTGATGCAAATAACTTATATGGCAAGGCCATGTCTCAGTGTTTGTCTTTTGATGCAAATAACTTATATGGCAAGGCCATGACTCAGTGTTTGTCTTTTGATGTAAATAACTTATATGGCAAGGCTATGACTCAGTATTTGTCTCTTGATGCAAATAACTTATATGGCAAGGTTATGACTCAGTGTTTGTCTTTTGATGCAAATAACTTATATGGCAAGGCCATGTCTCAGTGTTTGTCTCTTAATTCAAATAACTTCTATGGCAAGGTCATGTCTTAGTGTTTGTCTCTTGGTGCAAATAACTTATATGGCAAGGCCATGTTTCAATGTTTGTCTCTTGATCCAAATAAATAACATATATGGCAATGGCATGTATCTTTCCGAACTGAATCCGACCCGATTTTTTGGATATCTTCACACCTCTAGTTTTTAGTTTTGTACCTGGATGATAAGCTAACGGCCTATAATTTCGTCTCAAAAATATCCCATTACTATTTTAATCTCACCCGATGCTTCGTGATAAAAAATAATAAAAGTATGATTTAAATTGGCATTCGGTTAGTTACGTTTTTTCCCCGCCCTTATGACAGTGTGTATCTGGATCCGGATCCGAAGATCCGTAGATCCGGATCCGAATTTTTCAAGATCCGGATCCGGATCCGGTACCGACATTTTCTTGGATCCGCCCATCACTAATTTTGTTAAAACGAGGTTCGTTATATAGAGGTTAGGTTTGCAGGAATTTCGCTAAGTCGAGGTTCAGAACCAGCGTCGGTCAATATAGGTCGGGATTTGACCTCATTAAAATACAATTAAAGTAGGATAGGCTACGCTACAATACTTTACAGTAGGCCTACAGTGTTTACATTGTACAGTAGAACCTAAATCATCCGGCATAATAAAGGGGAGGGATCTTGAATATTGCGCAATCATGACAATGGCATTGACCTTGGTACAGGTTAAAACTGTAAGTTTGAAATCACAGCTTGTTCTAACCCTCCTAAAACCTAGCCAAACACTGTATTGCGTAGTCATAAACCATGTAAAGAACAAAACAAAACAGTAGAAGGTTTTGTAAGCTACTGCTCGTGATAGGCCGGTAGGCTACTTACAGTACAGTAGTGATTTATCACAACAGATGAATGTCAATAATAATCATTAACTATAGCATTGGTGTTGCTAGTTGAAACAAATCGTATTGAAAACAATAAATTATTAGATAAGTCATTATAAAAGTGTATAATCATAGCCAACTTAAGGATAATAAAAACACTCGTAAAAGGAATGTTAAGATAACGATGTTGCTATTCTTTCTCTTTGGTTTTGTTTTTATATTCTTTCTTAGTTTTCTCTTAATCCAAAAATTGTACAATTCACCATAGTTATCCCATATCGCCCAATCAAAGCTTACTAAACATTACGTCGTCATCAGTCCTCAGTGAATGAAATCAGTTCTCAGTTGCAACATAGCGCGCGCAGCGACAGCAGACAAAGATGTAAAACGGAGCAGACGAATGTTAGCGCAAGCGATGACGTGACCTTTCCACTTCATTTGATAAAGAAACAGATTTTCCCAAAACAATAATTGGGTGGGGGATTTGTTATATCGAGGGAAAGACGTAGACAATTCGTTATGCAGAGGTTAAATTCGCAATGTAGAGGTTCTGACTATGACAAATTCGTTATATTGAGGTGTCTTATTTTAGCCGAAATCACAAAAAATTTGTTAAATCAAGGTCGTTGTTATGGTTGGTTCGTTATGTAGAGGTAAAATATACATTGTGTCTTATGGAGAGTTCTGGGGGATTAAAAAAAATTCGTTATATCAAGGAATTCGTTATATCGAGGTTCGTTATATCAAGGTTAGACTGTACATATTGACAATGATATCTAGAAATAATAAAATTTTAGGTTGCTCAGACATTGTTTTTGAAGTTTTTATGGTGAGCATTAGTGATTGACACTAGACCAGTGACTAAATAAATTGTTAGGCCTACTCCCTAACCTAGAATTTCAAACATATGATACCGCATGTCCATATTTCCCATACCAAGAAATGAAGAAAGCTGTCACAATATGGTTTTAACAGCTATATTTTTCAGCATTTTGGTGCCAAAATGCCAACAATTATTAGTGAACATATTAAAATCATTAGCACAGCAGAACAAGTGCATACTCACGGGAGACCAGTCACCAACGACCCAAGACGCACAGTCCTCCTTCCGACAGGCCTCCTTGTGGTGGGGAATGTCTCGTCCACACACGTCCGGTGCTGTCACCAGCTGATTGCCCAGCTGACACCAGTACGGCCGTACACGCTCCCCAGTGCCACACGTCACACTGCACTGCAGACAAACAATGTATTAAACATGATATTTTGAAAAAATCTGTTCTTCAGTTACACGTTAATGTTTTTGATAGCTCTATTTAACCTGTTTACAGCCTTTTTTCTTTACAAAATAAAATGAAGTGGTTTTTAATTAGAAAGTATTGGGCACCAAGAAAGAGACAGTATTTATTTATACTAGAGATTAAACATAGCACGTTCAGTGGACAGAACATTTAACAAAAGGTAGAAATGATAAAAGATAGCTTACAGTGAACAACTCAAAAGAAGATAATTCATTTTGCACAGTTTAATTTAAGAATTAAATTGGAAAGAACTAAAAATTCTAAATATGCTCTTCATAATTTTTTAAAGGTTCAGAAGGTGTTAAAAGTTCAAAAAAAGTAGATTCTTACAGGAGCCCATTCCCCGACTGCCCAGTGGGGGCACTTCTGAGTATTACAGCTTCTCTCGACAATTCGTTCACTTTCTCGACATTCTTTCTCTTCCATTAATTCGTTCATATCATTGACACAATCTGCGTCTCTCCTCTGAATTCCAGAACCACATGATTTTGAGCACTGAAACAATACAAAACATGTGCATTGTGTAAATTTTAAGTAGTAACATTTAAAGTAAATGTATACAGTAACATTTAAACAAGAACAGGGGTTAGGTGATATTCTAAAAAGGTTGAGCTAATACAACTTGGCAAACCCATACACGGTTCAACCCAGTATTACCCAGTACTCTGTAGATTCAACCAGTAGCCTACATTGGCTTTGCCAATTGAAATTAAACTACTTGCCGACATTGAGACTGAACTATGTGAGTCATGCATACATGATGGAGTTGCTAGCTAGTTAGCAAAAAATAAAAATGTATGTTGCACATTTTCTTGGAAAATATATTTGTTTCAATTTACAAGAAATAAAGAAAAATGTACTAGCTATACCAATTCTCAGTTTGAATTTTTGACAACTTTTCCTGGTATTCCAGAATTTCTCGAATTTGGCTCTCTTCCAGGCCACACTACTATGCTAAGTTTGTTGCCTTCTGTAATTATGATTAAAATTTATCACCTAAATATTTGGAAAAAAACGCTACCAAATATGGCAAGTGAGAACTCACTCACCGGAGACCAGTCGTGGAAACGCCAGTGTGCGTGGTCGCAAGGGCCCACACAGGGCTCGTGGGTTGGTGGCAGCGCGAGGTGTGCACATGAGGAGTTGTGTACAGACGACACCTTGTTGTCAGGGAACTGCTGTACACACTGTACCATCAACACCCTCACTCCTTCACCACAATGTGAGGAACACTCAGACCTGCTGATCTGCCACCTGTCACAGTGTGTTTATGTTAGCAGTTAATGAAATAAAATAATACATCACTGTCTCTTTGACTCTTTACTAGTCCATTACTTGTAAGGCCCAGTCATGTGAAATAGGACCATATAGGCTAGAGGCCTACGGGTCCCTAATATTATCAGGTTCAGTCAGGCCAAAAATTGGTTCAACAGATTAGATCAGGCTAAAAAAATATCGTGGGTGCACACCACGGGTCATCTGAAGCTGAGCTTTTATTTTTGTAATCATAGAAGAAGGTGTTTGCAACGACGTGTGATAGAAATGACAATTTCACAGCAATCACTGATGATTTTCGTGGTATTGCTGCAACTGCTGGTGAAGATGATTGATTAAGTCTACCAGTCCGCGGAAGGTGTTCACGATTTCGTCGTGACCGTGGAAGACGTTCTTTGCGATTTAGACTGGTTAGTTAGAATGGATCATTTGAAAAAACTTTCAAACCATAAAATAAAAATCATGCTTTTAGGAATAGGCCCTAATTGTTAGCAGAATTTATGAATGTGGACAACTTTTGTACCTGAGAACACAATGATTGTTGCAAGGCTTTGCAGGAGGCTCAGGCTTGTCAATCCCATTACACATGTCAGACGACACTTCTTGTCCACTCTCTACCTTCACACAGACCAGAAGCCGTCGCATCTCTCCTGCAAGATAAGAGAATGATTGTAGCTTAAATAATTACTATCATGAGGCTTTTAATGGAGGTAGTTGTTTAATAGAGGAAGTTTTTCAAGCCTCAAAAAGCCTACCCTTCCTTTAGCCCAGTTGTCCAGCCTACCTTTTTATTACAGCTTAAGGTATGGACTACGACATTAGGGCAAGTAATTATCACAGATTGGTTGGGGTTTAGAATTTTTTTTTTTAATTAGGGGTATTAAAGTATATAAACAGTAATACTACTTTCTTTCAAGTTTATAGGAAATATTTTTCTTTTACTGTTCAACTCAAACTATGTACAGCTTATAATGTAGGCCTATCTGCAATTGTAATCATACTTTTCTATCAATGAAAATAGGCATAAAAGGAAAATACTTTTTAAAAAGTTCAATTTTACTCTCATAATTAAATGACCAGCACTTTATTTGACACACATGCTTAGTCCTAACTAGTTGCTATAGTATTTATACTAAGGAGGGAATACAAACATACCATTGCAGACCTTATCGCATACACTCCACTGTTCCGACACTCTCCAGGAGTATTGAGCCAAGGAGGTGCGCTGTACTGTGTAACTGTACTTGATATCTGGTGGGTACAGATTCCCCACTGACAACACCTGACAACATGGTTTATCTGGTAAGTCGTTTATAAATTACCAGAAATGAGACCTTGGTCTTTCAACGTATAAGACATTTAAGGATTTTTGTTAGAATTGCACTGCAGTTTAAAGTAGGGTCTGCACAAGCAGCTTTTGTCAAGTGCCAATATTTGAAAAGTGGCAACTGATATTACTTGTGTTGGTATGTGATTTCAAAGCAAAGGTGGGCAGTGGGCACCTTCGTTACTTTCAAGGCAGTCAATTTGTTAAGGGAAATAGATGTATATTGTCTATCTATACGGAATATTTGTCAAAAACTAAAAGCACTGACTTGTCCAAATGACAAGTAGGCAAACACCCATCCACACTAGTTGTGAATTGTGATTCGGCAAGTAGCTGCACAGTGCTTGGTGAATGTCGCATATGCAGATCTGCCTTTATTTGAATGGGAAAGAGAATCTGGCACGACAAAACAAAAAGAAATTAGCTACATAAACAAAAATTAAAATATTTCACTGTCAATTGTAGTATTTTCAGCCAAATAAGGTGACTTTGTTGTAAAACATAAATTGGGAAGAAAAATTTATTTCTGGCCAACATTGAACTTGAACATTGAACATTGAACTTGTTGGCCTCTTCCCAACTCAAACCTTCCTAGGTTAAAAATGATGGCGCTAACAGTGAAATATTAAACATTTTTCCAATTTTTGCGTAAATCAAAAGCTCTTTGTGTTCCTCTTGCTAGAGTAAACTCTTATCAGACAAGCATGCATCCTAGCTGGAATACTTAAAACCTAGGCATTGTGCTACTCACAAGAGTAATGTTAGATCATTATAAAAAATGTAGTGTACTGATACATATAAAGATAACAAAGTAAAGTGAGATAAAAGTCTGAGTCTATTTAGTTAATGGCTTTTATTGATTGTTATAGTGAGTGGATGACACATTTATTTGTCAGATCTTTATCGTCTTTAACTTTCTTTTTACTAGTAAAAAAAACACATGTGTTTTAGGACTCCAATAATTCTTCTTTAAACTTTATACATACATACTTTATAATTTTTTTCTCCAAATTAATAAGCTTCTACTTTTCATTCAATTGAGCTTAATGCCAAAATTTAGTAGGTTATAATTTTACGACAAATTATCTAAAAAGTACACATTCACATAAAAAAATTTGTATTTTTAACGTCAAAACTGCATTTAAGTAATACATTATTTAAACTTGATTTTTTTTTTATTTACTCAAATCATGTTAACTCTACTGCTTACCTCAATAAGCAGATCCTTACTGAGGGGTCTGGAGGAGTTGACCCTCTCCACCACAGAGTCAGAGCCAGAGTACTCCAATGTGGTGCCCCCGTAGAGAATCACCTTGCGGAACATACTGACTATGGAGTTGCCGTTGAGAATGTACTCTCCCGTCTCTCCGTCCATCAGTGCTGAACACACACACAGCTTCATGCAAACGTACAGTTCATTTGATAGTTTTAATATAAGATCAACAACCTTTAACCCATCTATTCCAGCTTACTTGCTAAAATCTTATTATATACGCTATCAAGAACCAATTGGGGAACTAGCTTGCGGAATGATCTTACTGCAGGTTTTATACCGTAGGTGAATATAAATACCAGGACTATAAATTACGAAAACCTGTTTGTGTCTGATAAAAATGAAAACCCTCAAAAACTGTTGAGATTATAAGATCACACTTTATAAAAAAAAGTGTAACTTAGTTGATTAATAGGTCCTAGGTAGGCTACTTTATTGCAATGTTTAAATTACCCACTACTGTATTCAAGACTACAAAAAATACAGTTTAATATACGTGTACTAAACTTTTAAACGAATCATTATTTCTACGCAATTTTAAAAGTGGATATTGAACCCCTTGGGGATTAAACTTTTAAGTGTGGAGTGCATGAATTTACATGCATTTCCAAATATGTGTTTTATTTTGCATTTAAACCGTAGTTGAAATAGAAAATCTTTTTAATTCAATCAGCATCAGAGCACTTCACACCGTTACCTAGGTAGTTGTCATCCTTGTAAGATCCTCGGAAGCCGTGTTGCCTCACGTCCAAGTTGGATGATCCAGCGGGTATCCGGACAACCCTGGTATATCCGTACTGAGATGTGTTGTAACTGCCAGATACCAACTGACAGCTTGAGTTGTTCCCTCCACACTCCATACAGTAATCTAGGGATACGAACATTGTCATTTATTATGGTTAATAAAACATTAACAATGAAAGAAACCTGAACAGTGGTTGTGGCCAAATCAAACGATACAGATGATATCAGTGAAAATTAAGTTGAATTCAATACTTACAAATAAAGATTATAGAGGACGGTACTGGACTTAATACGGAAAATATTTAGAGTTACTTTTTAACTATTTATAGATCTTTAGGCCTAAGACTGCATTGCTGTCTGTATTTTAGCCAACTATTTATTTAGCTGATACAATGAATAATGAGTAATGGCACAAGTGTTTACTGGTTTTTTAAACTTGTGAATGAAATCTTGAAACAGAAACTTTGAAAAGTAGGTGGTTTCAATCATTTCCTTTTGGTTTTGACACATCACTTGTGTGAAACCATTCATAAAGCTTAAAAACCTAAATATTCATTTGTAAAATGATGTATGAATCTTCATTATTTAGACACTGAAGTAGAGCAGTCATACCTAACTCTTTGTTGGAGCCCAGGACATGATCGCAGCCAGCTGCTCTGCAGATGCCGTTAACACAGATATCGTAAGTGTCTGGACTACAGACTGTTCCATCAATGACCTTTTCCTTAAGAAGATAGTAGGCACTAGAGTGAGCCACACGGCAATACAACTTGCATCTGTCTGCTGGTCCAACTGCAATTGTAAATAATTCACCATAAGAAAATTTTATTAGATAGCTCTGAATTTTTTTATTTTGCTACAACGCCATAAGGTGGATGTTAACTCTTCCTGAAATTTGCTAAGAGGCAATTTTTTTAGTTAGGCCTAGTTTTTTTTTATTTAGAATAAGAAAAAAACTTTTTTTAAATATGAAATGGGAAATAGCACAAAGTCTTTTCAATCAGTAGTGATGGAGACCTAACGAGGTACCGGTAGTTCAAATTTGAGACCAAAACCTTGATCCTTACTTCATTCACAACTACTCTAGTTTAGTCTCATCATAAAATTAGCTAAAAGGGAAAAATGAGGAAAAACAACCCTACCACCAAGAATGAATTGTGTGTTCAAGATTTTCTAGGATATAAGGATATAGGCTATGTGTGTTTGTTTAACTATTTAAATCTCTTGCCAGATGACAGAGATGTATATGCAGAAAAGTATTAAGCACTAAAAAGTGTGCATTAGTGGAGCAGGGAGTTGGCAGAAGGCTGTACACATTTGCGCAAAGCCAGCTGCGGGTGTTCATCAGTTAAGCCACAGTGATTACATTTCAGGTTTGCTAGCTGATTCATTAGTCTGTTTAAGACTACCACAGTTTACCAAATAACGTCCTTAATAGCCCCTAATATTGACGTCATCTATCACTTAATCTCTCTATTGTTCAGTCACATCCGCATGCAGCATTCTCATAAATTTGGTCATTTCTGCAAACAAGACCAATGAAAAACCTGGACCATTAGGCCTATAGACTGTACAAAACATTGTTAAAATAGTGGAAATCGCCTCCAAATTCCCTTTACTCTTTAAAGTTTTTATGCTGAAACATCTTACTTCATTCACACCCGTCAACTAGCGATGGACTTCAATAGGGTTTGGTGCCTCAATCATAGAACAAGATTCATACTTGAAGGAAGCAAAAGATTTCCTTATAGTTTTTTGTACCTAACATGACGAGACTAATTGTCACATAGGTGAAGTAACAGGATAGAACAGAAGTGGACGAAACTAAGTATACGGTGCTGGTCTCAGATTTGAACTAGTTCGCTTGGCCGCGACGGAGCTCCAAGGGAACCTTAATATACCGACAACCCTGCTAATATCCCATTTTCTTGGGAAGACAAGAATAAAAAATAACCAAACCAAACTTACTTCCACCATATTTAGGAACCCACTTGACATCTTTTGGAACTCCTGGAATGTTGAGGTTGTTGTAGTTGTGAGCGGCACACTGCTCTTCTCTAAAACAAACGCATATATAAGGATGGAATATAAGATTTGCACTAATATTTAATCATCCTGAAATGAAAACTGTTCCAAGAAAGGTCAGGAGTTTACTTAAATTTAGATGCTGGAGTGAGATTTTAGAAAAATTCAAATAATCTAAGATTTTTTCCTGGAGAGTAGTGCATTTTTCTGCTTCAACAATTACATCTCAACCTCAGGCTAAGAAAATCAGTTTGTTTTTTGTCTTCACGATTCCATGAAATCTACACCAGGATGAGAAGGGCTAGCATTTTTTAAATGCCTGAATAAAACACCATTAGGCCTAATATTTTTGTATGAAATAATTGACAAAGTATAAAAAATGTATCCAAAGTCTGAATCATTGATGTGAACATGAAAATAGAATGTTTTCTCATGACTTAGTGTTTTACCTGAAGTCCTGGCTGCCGAGAGGACACTCATGATGGTTACAGGACTTGTATTTGACTCTTCTGCCGATGCAATACTTTCCCCCATTGGCAGGAGCCGGGCTGTTGCAGTCTCTGAACGCTTGTTTCACACCCCCACCACACGAGCGGGAACATTCTCCCCACCTGCATTATGTTATAAAAGCTAAGCTTAAATATTATGCTAAGAATAAACTAGATTATTTTTTCTTAAAATGCTATTCACAATAGAACTAGTGTGTGTATAGGTTGTTTTTGTTCAGTTGGTGGGCTACGGTACATGGTTGTTCCTGGTCAAGTCAAACAAAAAGTCAGAAACTAAATTTTGAACTAAAAAACTATAAGTGAGATACAGCTTTTTAAATACGAACAGTACTCACAAAGATAGCTATTTGTAAGTGAAGTTTTAATTATGATTCTCTTAATAACCAATACCAATTTATCAACGGGGTTAAAAGTAACTCTCGTTTAGCAGTCTGAGTTGTTTTCAAAAACTAAGTTCCAAGTTAAACATGTGGGAACAAAGGGTAAAAAACATTTGTAAAAGTAGGAAATAACACACAATATGTTTTTCCTTCACTGATTTAGAAAATTAAGAAAATTCTCTAGGCCTATCTAAATATTAAATAGAGGTGAATTTAATGTAGGCCTAAATGACCTTGTCTCTTACCCCTGCCAATCGCCCCATCCCCCGTTGATGGGTTTGAGTGCCATCGGGTCATGAGGCACACACTCCCCCCGCTGGCACCACTGGTGTACCCCACAGGGAGTGCCATCGGCCCATGGCATGTGCTGGGTGCGACATCCCTCCTCTTCCCCCACATCAGTAGTGCACCACAGAGGCTTGCAGATCGGCTAAAACAGAATTTCTATCTTCATACTGAGATTGTTGCTGATAACGACAAGATTAGTAAAATCTAAAAATCTTGTCCTCACATAGATTATAAGTTAAATGTGTTCTGTTAGGCCTAAAATAGGCTACCTATTCAAACCTCCTTAAAGGAATTCAAAAACCTTTGTAGGCCTACTTGTCACGGTTTTTTGTTGTGACATTGATTTGAATAACATTTCATGTTCATAACTTAGGCCTAGTTATCTATATTTTATAAAGCCTTATGAAAACCTACAGGTAGTAAGTTACTGAAATATTTGAGCGTTGAGCCTAAATACTTAATATTTACCCTAATAGCTTAACTTAACTTAAGTTAATAACACGATAATTAGGGGTTCACTTCCATACCTGTTGGCACAAACAACCGAATGAGTAATATTGATTATTCAATTGTTTTATTCGATATATCGTTTGGTTGGTTAGGGTAGGTTAACCTTACCCTTACTTAACTAACCAAACGATATATCGATCGATATTTTCATTCGGTTGTTTGTGCCAACAGATAGGCCTATGGAAGTGTACCCAAAATTAGTCTCGCCCACTAAGCCTAAATAAAGTTTAACCAGGCCTAGGGGTATCTTATCTTAACCTGACCAAAGCCTTACAATGTATTAGGCTATTCAAATAAGCATATTTGATATTCCTGCTAATAAGTGTTTAACTTACATACATTTCTTGTAAACCCAAGTTTATGCAGAGCACCAAAGATTCTTCGACCATATAAGTCTTAACTTAGGCCTATATTTTATTTAAAATGTGTCCTACATTTACCAGTTACCGGTACCACAAAACATACATTTTCAGGTCTGTTAACAAAATTTTTACTTAAGTTACCCACCAAGAAGTAAAGAGTTTATTCTTGGTTATAATATGTTTGCTTAAATTTATGCTAGTATGCCTTCACTTACCTACCTTTAAAGAAACATTCGTTGATGTTTATGCAGTATACATAGTCAATTACTATGTTAGTCGGTTAGGCTATCTTTCTTACCATAATCACGACCACAAACAAATTTCAATCCACTACACTAAACAGGAAAAAGGTACCTACAATATATATTTTTGGAATTTTGAATCAATCGCCCGAGGATTTATAGGTTAGTTAGTAGGTCTGGTCAGGACTCCGAATTGGCGAATTCCAAAACAACAAACAACAAAAACAAAACAAACAACATCAATATGAACAGTGGGCAGACAGCAGACAGCAGTGCAACTGCAACAGCTGATCTTCACAGTCAGTGTTGCCACTCCAGTCGTGTGTTTAGAAAACATTTCTGCGACGTGAAGCTGGCCCACCCCATGGTGGAAGGACCCATTCCAGCACACTTTTTTCAAAATGTGTGCTCTTTATAATCACTTAAAAAAAGTGTGCTAATAATTATGATATAATCAATTGTAGTTGGGCGGGCCAGCCGTGATTCTGGCCCGCCCAACAACAATTATTGATGCACTAATTTTTAAACCATATTATCGTGTTATTAACTTAAGTTAAGCGATTTCAGCTACAGATCTATAAACCATGCCAAAAAACTGTGATGAAAGTGTGCACACAGGAATCATTGAAAATAAGTGTGCCACTCCCGTTAAAACCAATAACCAATATACCGTAAACAAATAAATAAAACAAATAAGTTAACCCCTAATTGATCAGGGTGATAAAATGACCCAGCCCGCCCATTTCAGCTACTGATCTATAAACCATGCCAAAAAACTGTGCTGAAAGTGTGCTCACAGGAATCGTAAATAAAATAAGTGTGCCACCCCCGTTACTAAACAAATAACCCCTAATTGGTCAGGGTAATAAAATTACCCAGCCCACGCATTTCAGCTACAGATCTATAAACCATGGCAAAAAAAAAAAAACTGTGCTAAAAGTGTGCTTACAGGAATCATTAATAAAAAAGTGTGCCGCCCCCATTACTAAACAAATAACCCCTAATTGGTCAGGTTGATAAAATGACCCAGAAATTATTGCTTTATTAAAAACCATGAAACGTGATTGCTCCGCTTAACTGGCTTTCACTGCTATGAAAGCAATCCTAGTTAGAATAGTGCTTAGTAAAATACAAAACCAGGTAAATCCTAACAAAATGAACGTATGGTAACTATGAAGAGGTTAATTTTAATGTGAATGTAACAAATGTATGTAGTATGTAGCTTGAAGCAAAATTAAAAGTAGTCGAGGTGAACTTGCTGCACTACTGTATAGAGATGGCGCCTACAATGTGGCGGCTGCAATATCGGTACTGCTACTACTTTGCGTGGCTGTAAGTGAAGGCGTTCTAGTAAGCCTGTCCTGTTAGTAGAGCGATCGTTAGAGGTAGATAAAATTAGCTTGTTTACTTCCTGGTTGCGTTCCTAGAGCTAAATAGTCTTAATTAATTGAAGTGCCTGCTAACTGCTTTTGGCAGCGGCAAGTTGGGATGATTAAAATACCAGCCGGTGTCTTCTTTACATGTCGCGAGATTTTTTACTTTTTCCGTCAATATTGAACCAATTTAATTGTTTAAAATGCTCACACAATATATTAAATTTTGGATAATTCTCCGAAATTGTTGGTATATAAATGGATTTCTAATATTTTCTCCTGAATGCATGAGGCCCTCTAAAATATACGAGCTTATGCAGTGATCTAAACAGACGTTGTTTAGTCCACGTCCCCCGTATGCTGGCTGTTTAGGACCCCACTGTGTATTGTAGACCCACTCACCATGTATGAGCATATCTTGGACCCCGTGCCATAGACTAGTTCACACTGTCTGTCCTCTGAGAAGTCTTGCCCAGGCTGTTTGCGAGTGCTCGGGTCACCCAGCTGATTGGTCCCTGGTCTGTCTAGCAGACACTCTCCGTAGCCTCCTCTACAACAGAAAACACTTACACATCCAAACCTAGGCAACCATCCGACCTCCACAACAACACACAATATATAACACATCCAAACCTACGTAATGATCCAAGCGTTCTCTTATATACAGACTTGAACCATGATCTTAACATTTTGAGCAGTGTGCTTCAAAAATGTATCAGAGTGATCGAAATATTAGGCATACTTTAAAAAAAAAAACATTAAAAATTTATAATCTAGTGTTCCTATTCCTAAACAGAGGAACGGTGTTCACAATGATAGAAGTAATCATCAGGGATTCCAGAAGGGAGCGGAGAATCTCTTACGACGTTCTTGAGGGACAGACGTGCTGCCTGTATCGTAAATTCTAAACAATGTAACGATGTAACAATGTAACAATGTAATGTTGTGTAGAGAAAAGTAACCCAGTCAGCATTGATCATATCTAGTTTCAAAGGTTTACATAGTGTTTGTTTTGTCAAAATACTTGTACCTATGCAGTAAGAAGCTCATCTAGCTCATCAATAAAACTAGATTTTGCAATCCAAATTAATCACAAGTAAAAAGTATCCCACCATACAAATATTTACGAATGAAATATTATCCAATTGTTTAAACACAACATATTCACAGTTTAAAGCACAAACCAAGAAAGGATTGAAAACAAAAATGGAAAACATGTGTTCAGAATTACGTCAGGAGGCGATGAAATTATGTAAAAAGAAAACGAGTAAGGCCGGACAATAGGCAGTGTAGAGCGACTTTTTGCTTTAGATTCCTCAGGAGCGGATAAGAGAAACAACCACAGAGGCCGTACAAGGGAACCAGTCCGGGCTCGGACATGGCGATAACGACATTTTAATTGTAAATGTCAAATCACACATGCTTCTGATGTCTGCAGGTTTTGAAATAGGTTGACAAATGAAGCTCCCGATGTTTATATGGAGAGACCAACAAAGGTTAGTGGGTTAGGTTACTTCATTGTGTAAGTTTCTGGTTGTAGTTTTATAAGGAGGTGGACGCTGATTCGTGTCACAGATGACTAATGTTATTTGACAAATTTGTCATACTATTAATTACTTTGTAAAGCTATTACCATGGATAAAACATTATGTTTTATCTATGCTATTACTGAAATCAAGGATACAGGATCAAAACTAGACATAAGGATGAGACAGAAAAATATATATCAGCCAACATTTTAGATTTGGTAGAATATTTTAAAAATATATATGGCAAGACTTGGGTTGCATTTTTAAGATGGATGAAGCAAGAAAAACTTAAATCTGACTCTGAAGACCAATTTGTGGTTAGGGTTAGGAGACTACTGAATAGATTTTAAAACGCAAAAATGTAGTCTGAGTCTGAAAAGTAAGCATCTGCAGCAATTGCAGAAAGTATTAACTTCACCTAGAAAGGCAAGGATAAAATAGGCTTATCAGCACAGTCGCATAATCGATGAGTTAAAGCAAACACATAGAACATTTAATGTGAACCTATAATAGTACATCGCAGTACGGGTTAAACAGGTCCAACAAATTCACTCCAACATATTCTGATGGGGAAATGAAAATATAATCTTTCTAGTAGAAAGAAATATTTTAGTTGAAATAAGTGGTTGACACGAAGGACCAATGTACTGGCTTTTTATTCCCTACCTGCAAAACGCAGCTTTCAGGTATCAAAAGAAGTTCTAAAACCATTGATAATATCTTGGTGAGATGGAAATTGCTGAAATAAGCAATTTAGCAAATACTAAACTACTAAAAAAAGTACAAATAAATCTAAAAATATGTTTTTATTTCTCTACTCACTCGAGATATTCTGTCAGGAAATGCCTGCTGCACTCAGACCAAGCATAAGGGTCGGTGTTGTGGTCTAACATGCGAGACATAACCTTGTGCTGTACATGGCCCCTTCTGTATGGCTCACACTTGACGTCGTCGTCGTGGGGCATGTTCAACCTACAACAGAGAAAAATAAAACTCAATCATATGTGAGTCCAGTACTAGCCTACACGTGTAATATTGCAGTTGTTACTATAAAAGCTACTGTAAGTGCTGTATCCATCAATCGACCATTAAACCTCCTGCGGTCGATGAAGCGAATGAACTGCGGAGAGCAAGCCGCGGGCCCGACGCCATAAAATGTCTGTAGCTCCATAAAGACAAAGAGTAAGTCCAGCCACTGGTCTTGATACCGTCAAGAGTAATGCAAAGGAAGCACTTATTGACCCGGAAAATATACAACCACAACGTCATCAGCTGAGAAGTCTCAAAGTGTGATATTTACCATCGTTGACGTCATACTAGCAAACTATGACGTCAATTAGCAGTAAGCAAGCATGTGGATATTGCGTGTACATCAGCAGAGAAACTTTAATTAAAGAAACATCAGAGTTATGCCAGGCAACTGTTAAATCACAAAGCCCCCCCAAAACATAATATATTAAGCTTATAAGCTATTAAACCTTTCCCAAATCATTATTAATTCCATCCAAACATACGCAAACCCAAACTTGATGTATGTGCAAAAATTAAACAGAAATACATTTAAATGTGTGTAGTTACTTACAGTATGATTATACATTTATGATTGTCTACATTCATGATGATAATTTTTGTAGAAAGGGGTGCAATCCGTTTGGGAATTTTGTAAATTCTAGCATAATCTTCGGGTCATCTACAAAAAGTTGCGAAGTTTTTGTTCGTTCGGTACATGCATGGAGGCGTAATCTGTTTATGTTGGGTTTTAAATTTCTAAAGTACCTTGGCTACAGCTAAACAGCAAATGTTTCTTCAAGTACAGTACAGGTGTCTGGCTTCCGTGTCGAAACATGTAGCTTACTTAGTGTTCTCTGATGTAGTACAGAGGTTATATGCAGTGTGTACTTACACATGGCCAAGTTCATGGGCAATGGTGTATGCTGCAGATAGTCCGTTGTCCTGCACCACAGCACAGCTAGAAGACTTGTCACACATGGTACCAAGCTCAGCCAGGCCGAGCGTCTCACACTTGGCGTTGTTACTGTTGGGGTTGCGGCAGATGTTTTCTCTGAAACAAATATGATCAAATAAAGAGGTTACCAAAGTAAACGAGAAGAAAAAAGATTGTGAGAATGGAAGTGATGCAAAGTAACTCTCATAAAATAAGAGAAAAATGGGGATTATGAGAAGAGGAAGGATAAATCCCCAATCCACATGATAATGGAGAAAAAGGCAGAAATTTTACGGGAGGCAGAATAATAAAGCTAAACATTAGGATGAGAAATGAAAGGTTGTAATCAAGAAACGAAAACTACAGGAAGATAAAACTAGACAAGAGGAAGAGAAGGGGGCAAAAATTTGATGAGAAGTTCGTATTTTTCTTTGCTAGGAAAACATGTGCATTTGTTTTGGGGAGTCTGTCCCTTTTACGCCCTAATGCTATTTAAATGGGAAGATATGCACCAATATAGGTACGCATTCCTCAGCAACCTATTAACCATTTAAAGTGAAATTTTTCCTACATGATCTCTATGCCATAGGGTACCCGGCTTGCTAGTTAAAACTTAAATATATTCTTGTTTTTTATTTTTTATTTTTATAAATAAAATATGCAATTTTTTTTACCTGATTTATTTTGTATGTTACCTTGGTAATGACTTAAACCAAATCATTTTAAACTAAAAGAGGTATCAAGCACTACTCACCATGATGTGAAGAAGATGTGTGTGAAGTTTCATATTGCTATCTCTTATAGTTTTTAAGTTATGCGTACCTAACTTTTAAAAACACTATTTTCGGTAAAACGCCCTTGAAGTTCTAAAGGGCTTAGGTCGCGCATCCTAAGAACATTGAAAAATATCGTGCAGTACTATTTATTTGTTTTTTTTTATAAAAAAACTTTTGCAAAATATGAAGTGTTATATATATAAATAAACACAAAGAATTGGAGAATTTTTTAAGATAAAAATAAAAAAATCTTTTTTTTTCACCAAAAAGGTACAGACTCCCCTTAAATGCATTTACATCATGTACATTTGTTTAAAAATTCATTGTTCTTGGAATATCTTGAAGATATATCCTACTAGTTAAAGCAAACAAAAATCTTAAAAATGTGTATCTTACTTAATAAATTATAATTTTGGTTAGAGTTTTCTGGTCTATCATAGTACCTATGTGACCTTTTAGATGAGGACAAGAGAGCGGATGAATTGAATCAAGCAAATTTCCATATAATCGACTTGCAGTTGATATTATGTCAGCAATAACATTCCAAGACTGTCGATTGATTTCTGAAGTTTCTTCAAACATTTCAGATATGCACGATATATTCAAGTCATTTTTTAATGACTCTACAATCTTACAAAACGTCCAACGATTGAATTTGATCACATACTACTCTGACACTAATTATAGACTCCTAGTCTTCCTAAAACATCACATAACTATTAATGTAGTAGGAGAAAGTAATTTATTAGGGCATTAAACCTATTCAGAAATTCCATCACCAGGCAGGTGCATAGTTGAGGAACCAAAATGCTGTAATTTAATTAATTATCGAGTTAAAGGTTACAATCACTGCTAAGCGTGGTTGGGTTGGACACTACAAACTTTCAATTACGACACTCGGTTCCCATCGGTTTGGGTCATTATCTTTTATGGTGTTTATCGTCCATTACAGAACTTATGTCCAAAAACACCGGGACTTTGTTTACAAGCCCTGGTGTGGATTTTCTCTGGGATGAGGCAATAGCATTATAGGACTTGACATGTTCGTTCTTGTACTCACAAAGCCACATGGCAATAAATTATTGAAATGACCAATTACGATGGAGACGCAACAACAAACAAGATTGGAATGGAGTTACAAGCCTAAAAAAATTAGTGGAATAACAAGATACGAACGCGTAGCTTTTGTACTGAATTTGCAATTTTGAAGTCAAATGTAGCTACTCTTTGAAAACCACCTATTACGAAGAATGTTTACAAGTACTATTAGCATAGACAAAAAGGGCTTGTCTGTGCTAGTACTAGTAGACTTTACCATTGACTATTGGATACTTTGCATATACTTCTCAATAAGGTGAGATCGCTGAACAGACGCTGGCTCTTTAAATCTACTGTAAAACAGTTACACATCCAACATTGATTATACGATTATACTAATTCAATTGTATACTATTTTCATACGATTCGCTTTGGTTTCGTTCAACAAACTACGTAAGAGTGTGAAATAATGACTGAACAAAACGTAAACACTGCGGTTCTTTATCTTTTAATGCTGACCAATTAGTATTTGCTTACACTATCCCAATCCCCACTTGCAAATGTATGGTGGTAAGACCTACTAAAATCATTTATATTAAAATTAAATATGTCTTTGACATTAGTGTAACAATTACGGCGAGACCAATAATTTACCTCAGATATAATTATGCCATTTATGTTTGAAGAGATTTTTGGTTATTTTAAACATTTAAAATTCAAATATAAGATACACTGAAATTAAAATAGAAGCCTACATTTATTCTGGTGATATTTCAATTAGTATACAAAAAATAATATACTTGATTAAAAACTAATAAAAAAAAAACGTTTATCGAAACAATGAGTAACCATATCGCAAAAGATACAAGAAAAAAAACTTCCTAAAATCATATCTCACCTTTCACGCCACTACACGATATGACGACAAATATGTAAATCAGACATCGGAAGTGTCGGCTGGGGTTTGACCTTGACACAAGTGTCACAAGGTCGGTCACGTGACAAGGTCATCAGTCAGAGTGTCATCAGGACATTAACCACACGTACCCATCCATCTGATGATATGACGCAACACACAACATCGCCACCGTCACAGGCGCCGCATCTAGCCCGTGCACTTCATATTTTACGTATCACTGTCTTGTTTTATCGGATTGATTTTTCAGCGGTGTTTTAATACTAATCCCAATGCAGTGTTAGAAACTTAGGAGTAAAAATTTTTTTTCCTGAGGTATGGACCAAACGTTTTCATTATTTACACCTCTTTATTTAGTATGAATCTGATTCTGGAGTAAAAAAAAAGGGATTAAGGACTGTCTGTGGATCACAGATAATCGTCCATTTTTATCGTGAAAGCAGGCATTGGGCTATAAATACCCTTACAATTTCAAATGTTTGGCTTTTTTGTATACTCTGTATGATGGAACCTAACTCCAGACCTTCCGTCTACCTGGGACCGTCCGAGCCTAAAACCATTGGCCAGTCCCCAGATAGAAGGAGGAGCGAGGAGACAGGTTCCATCTTACAGACTGCAGCAAACCTCAACAAACTCTGCCAATCATACCCTTAGGCGAAACAGTTATGGAACACACTGTTTGGCTAAGCTCTACGGTTCGAGTCTTTCATAATTGATCCATGGCCAATCAACAGTCCTACAGAATGCCGATGCTCCTTTAGTAGGCCCAGAATTCTCTCTATGGGTAATTTCCAATTCCATCTACAGTATGAGGATTTTTATTGTCTAATTCATGTGTTGATCCATCGTCCACTTAAACCTCCCCATCATAAACAATGACCCTTGCGTACGTTTGCAGCATTCTAAACCCGGCACAAACACGCGCAACGCACACACTCGCACGCACAGGCATCCGCACAGCTGAGACTCGACCATTATTACGAAACGACCATAAAGTGGCCGGCTCATTTTAAATACGCATTAGTCAGCCTATTCAAGCATCACGGATCCTATTTATTCCCGCTTTATCCAATGCCGCTGCCGCGTTTAAATCCAGCTTAGCGATGGACTTTATCTGCCGAAAGAGAGAGAGCGATGATCTTGGACTCAGCACTTCAGCAGCCTCGACTATAAGTTTGTTTACATTAGTGTGTTGTCGTAGAGCGGTAGAGGTAAGATTAGAATATGTCAGCCTCTTCATCGGGAAAACGACTACTTCGAACGTTTAAGTGGTTACATTGAATTAACAACAAAAAAGAAACTTTGCTAGGGATGGCAATGCAGTATGCATGGAATTTGCTGTGAAAACAAACTTTGTTCACGCAGAATAGTTTGAACAAGAGCAATATGTTTAGTGACGCATGGCATTAAGTTAGTGTTGTAATCCTTTGGACTCCTGGAAGTCTGAACGGACGTTCTGTTTTCGATCCGTTCTGTTCTGTTTCTGTTATTAGGCTATACCACAGTACTGTCTGCTTCAGCTCATGGTTACATTACACTTTTTTTGCATATGAAGTCGGGTCTAATAATGTTAAAGATCTTGTAATCTTCTTACGAATACAATTAGTTATACAGGGTGAAGTGGAGCACCCATACACAAATTTTTACGGGGGTAAGTTTTCACTTATAAACACAAAATAAAATTATTCCCCCTAAATCACATACGAAGAATTCATTTTAAAATACTTAGAACATGATCCAAGCACAGGGTGTTCCAGAAATAAACGTCACGGGTTCGAATCTAGAAATTTCCTTATGTCAACCTATATCTCATTGTACATTTTTAGACAGTTCTTGCTTACAGCAAAATTTTGGTGAAAATTGATATCAATTAACTCAATTAGTTACAAACATTTATATGGGAAAATGGTGGTACTTGTATTGAGATTTGTGGAAACAACGCTTTCTTGTAATTCTATAAACAATGGATTTGTATTTTAAAGGCTTTATATGATTTATTTAATCGACTATTGTTTTGAAGAACGGTCAAATTACATGATATTGTATGTACAATTAATTAACACTCATGCTAATTGTAGTTAGAGATAATACGACAGATCTTGAAAAAACAAATTCGACAACGTCTACGTTACCGAATGTAGAAGAGAAAACCCCATGGTTCGGCAAATTTAGGAGATACAAACCGACGCACCACATATGGAAATCACTTATACATGCAAACAGGAAACACAAAAAGAGTTGAAAAAGGGAACACGAACCACTAAAGAAGAAAAGTTAAAGCTGCAGAATGAAGGCTATTGTGTTTCGTGGATCTGCACGCAAGACTCAAGGTTTGACTGGACCACCAAAACTGCGACAAGACAGGGCAAGACACACATGCGACGGGAATTTGGTTACATGTTGAGAAACTGCTGGAGAGGACAAAGACTTGGGGCATTATTTCACAAGCAAAATCAAAATTTTTTTAAAATTTGAAGCTATGGTCAAACTGCATAAAGAATCTAGATCATATTTCTACTTGATCTAGAATCTGTGAATCTTATTGCGATAGAATTCAAACATTTGATGAATTGCCTACGTCTCTAGAAATATGTGTGTTCCCTTGAACATGTATTTTAAATTATGTACAGGAACACTACCATATTGCTAAGGGAACAGGCACTCGATGACAAGGAACTAGTTTTGTATTTTTGTTCTTATTTACTAGTGCTATGTGGTATCTAAGATTGCTATTCATCAGTATCACCATTCGCGATGGATGTAAAAAAAATCATCAACATTTTTTTTCCGTCGAAACGAAATATTATTAGAGGTTATCAGAAGCTATGTCACTTTTCATAATGTGAAGAAAGATCTCTCACGGTGGAATCCTCTCTGCTATACACCACTTTCTAGCCCCACAAGGTACTAGAACGCAGAGTACGTTTAAACAGCTTTTGATGCCTTCCATTCACCTTCTATCAAACTTGTCAATCTAATATTTAACCGACCTTTAACTTAATCGAACCCCGCCGCTCATGCTCTCTACACACATCTAGCTTTACTCCTCTCTCACCTGGTGAGCAGCAGTGCTGAGTCGTGGTGGTTCTTGCTGTCGTCGTTTGGGTCGTTGTGTTTCTGTTGCCAGGCGCAGAACTTCCTCAGCATCTCACTGGCGCTGATACCTGCATCTCCATGGTGTCTGGTGGCGAACTCCACATCCTGCAGCACGAACAGCTTCACCACTGCTATGTTGATAGGGTTGCCTATGCTGGCGTCCTTGTATATCCCATGTACCTGCCGACCATCAACACCAATTATGTTTGTGGTTTGAGGGTTTCGATAATTTTCCAACATACATTCTCTAAAAGATCCATAATTGCGAGGTTTTTAAAAAGCGCAGTAGATTACAATACATAGCTTTGAGGTTAAAAGTTTGTAAACGTATTCGTTGTTATGTTGTTTTGTTTATTTGACAGAGCCAATTTATAACGTTTTGGACAGGCATGATCCAAACAATGTTCATGGGTTTCCTAACGTCGGCCTAATATTAGACGGTAAATGGGCCCAAGTATTGTTTGGGTTGTTTCTTTCACATGCATCAACCTAAAACACTGATTTATATATTTGACAAGAATGGGCCCTGATCACTTCACAATAGACATGAGAACATTTTACTCCAAGTAATTTGCTGATCAATCGCTAAAAAACGTGAAGATAAAATATACTAGATAAGTGTTTCCCATAGTATAAGTTGGAAAGCTGCCTTATGGTTATTGGTGATGCGCGCGTACAGATTGGCCAATGGTTTAAGGGTCGTTTCTAACATACAGATTGACCAATGGTCCTAATGAGCAGGGGCAAAAAATGGGGGAGGAGCTTACAGCAGCGATGTGTGTGGGGGAGGAGCTAGTCTATTCAAGTAAACTGTTTGTTGACGTTTTCTAATCTTACCACATACAGAGGTGGTCTCTTTAATGCTATTGAATATCGTAGAACCAACTTGTGTAGTTGAAAAAGCTGACAAAACTTTTTAATTCATTTTAAATATAAATACTCATAAGGTTAACATGGGAAACTATTGAGCCATTGGGGCAAAGCCCGAAATGGTTTTTGGGATAACAATATGTCTAGATATTTTAACCGGGAATGTGAGCTATCTTCATACCAAATTTCAACCCGATCCGACCAGTAGTTAATGCGTGGTTGGATATCAAACAAACGAACAAACTCACAACATTTCACAATATTAGTAGGTACTACGATATATTGTAGATTTTAAGGGTAAAAACATGATGTCTCATCATATCTCTATTATTTTCATTGCGTGCGCCATCTCTTCAAGAAAACTTCAGAAAGATTAATAGTACTAATGACACATACAATGAAAACGAAAAATCTAACGTAAACCATTTTCTTCTTTACATTTTATACCAAAAAACTAGCTGTTGTACCCGTGCTTTGCAACGGGAAGAGGACACAAAATAGAAACATTTTAATTTTAATCTTTACATCTGTTGTATATAATAGTTACACATCCGCAAACGCTTTTACAAACAAAGTTCAACTTTTATGGCCTTAATAGAAAAGTTGAAGTTATAACTTTTAAATCTGCTAAGTAGGGGATAGCACCATTTTGTTTTCGATTAATTTTAAATCTTGTGTAGGCTGATATGAGAAAACCTAACAAAATCTTTGAATACAACTTTGACATACATGATTTACCTTCATCTCCCTTAATTAAATATCTTTTAATTTACTATTGACATTTTAAATATCAATTTTGAAGTTGCAAAAATACTAATTACCTATTCAATTAAATTAACACTTTTTTTTTTATTTCACTCTTCTTTATATGAAACTAGCTGTACCCGCGGGCTTTGCCCCATTTAACTTTTAAGTGAGCTCGTTCCCATGGCTCAATCACGTTCTGCTTGAAGTTCGTTCGCTACGCTCACTCAATTTTAGGTTGGAGCTCGTTCGCTGCGCTCACTTGCCTTCAGGTTAGCTCGTTCGCTACGCTAACTCGCTTCTAGGTTGAAGTTCGTTCGCTACGCTCACTCACCTTTTGGTTGCAAATTAGCTGTTGTCATAAAATGTAAAAGAAATAATAGTGCTGCACCCTGTTGGTAATCCTTGTAACTTAAATGCTATTGAACATAATAGAACAGAACCAACAATGTTTAATGTTTAATTGAAACAGCTGTTAAGATTCATTAATTCCATTTAAATATGAGAACTCAGAAGGTTAACATGGGAAACTCCAGAGCCACTGGGGCGGAGCCCGAGAGTCCGATCAGAATAAAAACAGCTTAGTTTTCCTATTTAATGCCTAAAGAATCAATGTACCAAATTTCAGCCTCCTAGGTAAATGGGAAGTGGGAGAATTAGTGATGAGTGAGTGAGTGAGTGAGTGAGTGAGTCAGTCAGTGAGGGCTTTGCCTTTTATATATTTATATCACAAATCCATCTTCAGTTTCTTCACTCACAATAAATCATTAGCAAAACTAAGTCAGCTGTTATAAACTTAAGATATATTGCTGTGCCTTATCAATACAGTCTTTTGAAATATTAAAGAAACTATATCTATAGGTACTATAAAAATTTTAAACAAATAATTCAGCATTAAGAGGGTTCCCTACCCCCATTGAAAAACGTCAGAAAACTGCTTCGCGCGGTATCATATAGCGATTCTAGTTTTAACATTTAAATTGTGAACCAAACACCATTTTGTACATAAAGAGTGGTTATACTAAGTTTGCTTTTTAAAAAATGTCTATGCTTACGCAATCAAGGGCAACGACTTGTCAAAGTTAGTGTACTTTACAGTTAAAGTTCACTAACTTTGACAAGTCGTTGCCCTTGATTGCGTAAGCATAGACATTTTTTAAAAAGCAAACTTAGTATAACCACTCTTTATGTACAAAATGGTGTTTGGTTCACAATTTAAATGTTAAAACTAGAATCGCTATATGATACCGCGCGAAGCGGTTTTCTGACGTTTTTCAATGGGGGTAGGGAACCCTCTTAAAGACAGCAGACAAAACTAATATGATTATCAAAGCATCAAGGACTAAAAAATATAATAGCAAATACAGTATATGTTTCATTGCATGTCTGATTCTACTCTATAAAAAATATCAACAAACAACTTAATATACAGTACAAACCAGTTCTTTTAATCAGTTCCATCGTCCACTGCCTTTACATTTTCACACTTACCATTAAGTTAACATAGTAACAGATATTTCATTGATTTTAGAAACAAAAGAACACTGTGTAATGCTTAGTTTTATGATATTTTCCTTGGTTTAATTTAATCAGTGGTGTGGCAAAACACAAATAATAAATGTATCAAATAAAGTAAATGTGTATTGAAAGCTATGTTAAGATAAAAAAGAGTATTTTGTATTACCATTTGATAATTAAATATAGTTACACATATACAACAGATTTTAGAACAAAAATCAACGACGTACAATTTAGTTATTGATGATAATATTCTTTAGTTTAATTTAAGCATAGGTTTAGCAAAATACAATAACCTAATTTACCTAAATATACATATAAAAAACAATGTGATGTGCACGTTATGTTTTGTTAATAAAACACAAGTTAAGCAGTTTGAATTTATTTAACGTAGCCTCCAAAATCATACAAAACATCTATACATTGTAATTTTCATACTGTTTCCATGAAAACATATCAATAACATTATTTTCATAACTTGAGACGCTTTAAAAAATCCAAAGCAGAGCCGGAGTTGATACAGCAACGGTTATAGAATCTTTTTTTCTATAATCATTGACATAGTTTTATAATAAATAATCCATTATAAAAGGTTAGATTAAAATAAACTTACCTCATGATTATGGAAACTATTATATTTAATTTCTTTGTATCAGCTGTCTGAAATTGTGAAATATGCAGTTTAGCAGTTCTTCTTGTTTACATTTAAATGTCAAAGCAAATGTAAACAAACATTGCTAGTGTTCTCATCGCAGCCATGGAGACCAATCAATATTTACTGTCCTTTTAAAATGTTCACCTCAGAACTTGTAAAGCCAAAGGGGCAAAAGCCTACTAGAATAGTCCAATAATGTTCTTTGTTGTGGTAGCTATAATTTTGTAAAATTTAAGCCCAGTTGGTTCAGTAGTTTTTGCACCTATTAGTAACACACATACAGACAGACACCATTAGATTTTTATATAATACTGTAGTAAAGATAATACAACATTTTCTTGATTTAACTTAAACATCACCGACTTACAGATAACCCAATTTTCGTATGGATGTAAACAAAATTGTACTATGGACATATGTTTTGATGTAAACAAAATTTCATTGTAAACTTGAACAAGTTCAGACGATTGACAAACAGAATTCAGCACAAACTATGCAATTTTAAAAGCTAATATGACGAGGTTATATGCTTTCACGGGATATCATCCAAACGGAATAATACAGTACCTCCAATTTGGAATTATTATTTTCTTTTAGTGGCAACTGAAAATGTATCTGACTGAATATTAATAACAAATTGTTATTTATTTCAGGATTTTAAGGCAAAATGTTAAAAATTATTTGAAGTTTAGAATTTTAATTTTTGGTTTACGTAAATGTTGAATACGGTAAGTGAGTAGATTTTTATACTCTGTGGTAGAACATTTTATTCAGGTTATTTCACTTCCAATAGATTATCTCTTTCTTTTTTTGAACTTTTGTTAAAATGCTACTCCTATAATGAATATTGCTAGATTGATTTTGTGAACTTAAAAATAATGAAAATCGTGTGCGAAATACTAAGACAGATATTCAAGGTAATTTTCAAACAACGGGTATACACATAAAAACGAGAATGCTTATGCTTTGAATCTTAAAAACCACTTCAGGACTTTTAAATGATAACATTATCCCTATTGCTATAACTAGGTCAAACAAACTAACAATTTCGTAACCAACTCGACCTCCCAAAAAATGTACTTTGTGTACTTGAAAAGAAATTGATAGTGAGTTAATAAGCAATTAGTTATATTTTACAGCTTATTATTTGTATTAGAATACCGCACTGTGTTGTTTATGCTAAAGTTGAATTTAAAAACCTTATTTGTTTACTTAACAGTTTACATAAAACTTAGTGTTTTAAAAAGTAAAATTCGTCTCTTGAGCTTGGCCACCTCTGTGACAGGTAAGTGGTAAGATTAGAAAAAGTTGACAAACACTTGACTTGAATAGATAAGCTCCTCCCCCACGGGACATCAATGCTGTAAGCTCCGCCCCCATTTTTTGCCCCTAC